CTTGGAGAAACCACTTTACATCTTTGTGTTCCCTTATTTTCTCACTCTTAAAAGGGGGGAGCCTTCCTCTTGTCCTATTTTTTGTTCTTTTGCCTTTGTTAGAAAAAAAAATTTGATGGCATAAATTCGAAGCTCTAATTGGCTTTATAAACACGAGTGATGAATCCGGCATCTAAGTAAATAGAGGGAAGCTCTACTGAGCAATACAGACTTTTACAGAGAGGGGGCATAAGAAAGAAAAGCAATTTGGGGTGCCTGGGTGGCTCTGTGGTTTAGGCCTCTGCCTTCTGCTCTGGTCACGACCTCAGAGTCCTGGAATAGAGTCCAGCATTGGGCTCTCTGCTCAGCGGGGAGCCTGCTTCCTCCTCTCTCTGCCTACTTGTGATCTGTCAAATAAATAAAATCTTAAAAAAAAAAAAAAAGGAAAGCAATTTATCTGCAAGGAACGAATTATTTAGGCCCTTGTAAGGGGAGAGGAACAGGTCTGTCAGTAAACTTTCTAGTATTGAGGAAATTTCATTTGACTGGCTTAAGGTTACATTCCTGGGGAGGTTCCTCAATTCAACCCAGATAATCTAACTCCAATTTTTCATTCCACTGTAGCCTCTCTCCATTAGGGAAGGATGTGCTCCTTCCAGGGGGGCTCTGGATGTAAAGAGAATCTAGTAGCGACTTTAAAGTGAGAAAACTGGGCAGACACCATCTTAATCAGAGGATCAAGGTTAACATTACTATTAATAGAATATAAACGTTTAGGCAGGAAGGTAGGCTTTGGAGTCACAATCCAGAATTCCAGTTTGCACTCTTGCCACTGAATGGCCTCAAGTTCATCACTTTTAGCCTCCATTTTACTATCTGTAAAATAGAAATAATCATCCCTGAAAGTGGCCAGGAATACTGACAGTTCCATGTGGCATATCTAACCAAGATTGGGACATAGTAATAAATGTTGATAGTTGTCCTGGGACTAAGTGAATATAGGTGTGGTATTGGTTGCTAGGATGGGGAAGACAAACAGAAGAACAGGTCTGAATTACATGAGGAAAAATACCAGAATGAGTGTTTTCGGTGATTTGTAGGTATGACTGCAAATTCTCAAGGTCCTGTCCTGTGGGGTGCCTTGAGGAAACCCTCTTGCCACAGCAACTTTGCTTAATGGGAACCTGTTAATAAGGGACAAACACTGTCCTTCTGAGGTCTTCACTGAAGACCCTCTTCTCCTAGCCAAATAGCAAGATGATCATGGAATCCTGCCCGCAAATGTCCTGGCCACAGAGGAGCCCTACAGACAAACAGACTTGATAACCGAAATAGGCTGGGAGTGACAGCAATTTCTGTTCTGGTGTTATGCAATAGGAGACATTTCCTAAAAGTCCAGATAACAGGGTCAGTCGGCCACAGCTAGTCTTGTTTGATGTTGTTTTGTATGGTTTGGGGCCAGAAAGCCAAATGTAAGAACAACTACTTCCCACGGAAAATTTCCACATGCTGGGAGAGATCAGTTCCCCCCATCCCTTTTCTCAGCCACACTGAAACTAGATCATTCTAGCTGCTTATTTGAAACATTAAAGAGGATAGGGTCTACTTCTCAGGACCTGGGAGGGAACTGCAGTTTCTGTCCTCTAGTCACTGTTAGTTCAGCATTAAAAACGAAACCAAAAAAACAAAACAAACCCCCTTAGCCTCTCACCACTGGTTCTATTTTAAATGAGAGCATGGATTCTTAACAAGAAAAAGGTCTACTGAAGCTAGAGAGTAGGACAGCATTTTGAGGTTAATCTTGGTAACGGACTGGTGGTTGTCTACTCAGCACCCATGCTGGGGTCCTGTTTTAGAGCATCTTTAGTTGTCTTAGAAAAGCAGATGTCTTCATTTTGGTTCTCTTCAACACCGGGGACAAATCCAGTCTCATCCCAGTAGGTCTTTCCAGTTTTTTCTACCTACTCCACAGTACAGACAGGTTATAACCTGCCCACTCAGAAAAGCAGAGAGGCAGAAATCCATATGACTCAATCATACAGAAAGAAAGAAGGCTTCACTGTAGTTAGGGAATACCTCCCTACTCAAACTAACAGAATGGTGTGCAAATAAAGGAACAAAAAATTTTAATTATAAATGCAGTCTTACATCTTTTAAGGAAATGCAAGTGAGGCAGCCCCTTGAAGGACCTTTATAAGAGCACTTGACTCCCTGTGATATTTGTAGAGTTACCTGAGTATTTGAAATTACAGTTCAAGAAAACAAAGGAACTCCAATACAGTAATATACAATCCAGTGCTGCCATTCCCAGTTTTTAGTAAATGAAAGCATACCATATATACAAATACTTTTGTATATAACTCTAATAAGAGAAAAACAAAAAATAAGGGGGGGCTGGAGATACCAACAATATTAAGTAGAAGTAATTAACCTAAAGGAGTTCAGATGGAATTATATGCAAAACAAGGAGGGTGTGGAAATAGAGTAAGTCTAATAACCCCATGAGTCACCCCTGATAACGTTTTAGATTATTAACCAGATAAATAAAAAGTGGCAGAGTGGGCTTGACTGAAATAATTCATTTGGATGAGATCTTTGTGGGCAAGTGAGTCATTTTTCACTTAAATTTCCGATCCACTGACATTGATGTCAATCTCTTGATAAAAAATTAATACCTGAATTTTAAATAGAGTTATTGTAAGTCTTATGAAATTATATTCTTCTGCACTCTGATACAAGATCATAAAAGACAGAGCAGGAATTTATTGTTATGAGCTGCTGGATCAGTTTTAAACCACTCTATCTGATAACAAGTGAGATCCTTCCCTCCTGACCCAGGCTGTGAAATGCTGCCTTCCCCAATTACCCAAAAGAGCAGAAGAATAAGGCAATTGCTCATTTTACTTTGTTTTTATTTCAACATAACATGCAGTAAAAAAAATTAACAGGGTTTATTAGCATTTACAATGCTTACAAAGAAAAAGGACTCTAAAAGCAATTTAGTTCAGATTTAAGAAATCGCTCTAATTGAACACTTACAATAAATCTATTTCCAAATGTTCAGTTTGGACCAAAATTTAAAATAGCATTTGGTAGGTATTTATGTTTGCTGTCTATCTGTTGTATTTTTATATAACCTCTGATTCTTGGGATATCCAGCCCCCATTTTCCTAACACAGCAGGGAAGACATATACATGTGGCCACTTAAATTAAGGAAGAAATGGAGTAAGGGAGATCCCAGGCTGCAAAAATATATACAAGCATTTACCTTTTCCAGAACTAAACGTTTCTTCCATAAAAATATTAAATAGCCAAGCCCTATAGAACTAGGGCCAGGGCTACTTCAAATATAACTATTCTGTATTTTAAAAATATAGGGCAGAAAGCCTTTTGGGTGATATTTATACATTTTCACACAATATTTCTAGGTCCTTAAATGAATCATCAAGCATTATGTAGAACAAAAAAAGGTCTACTTTCTTACATTATTTAATTTAATCTCATAAATCTCTAGTAAATATTGTAGATAACTACATTTTAATGAGAATTCACCTCCATAGTAAGTCTTTATAGAAGGCTTAATCTCCACAGCCATATATTACCAAAGTTCAGATTTATATAATGAATGGATAGTTGGCAGACATTCGCTCTGTAAGACAAAGCAATAGCATTTTCCCCCTACCAACAAAAAGGCAGAGTCCCTACTTTGGAAACAACTAGGGCTTTTAGAGACCATACATTTCCTGGAGTATATGGAATAAAAAACAAAATAAAGATAGGGTTGGGGAGAACCTAATCTCCCCCTTTACACTGACAATTTCTAGATGAGGCAACCTTTTAACTCACTTAAGTCTGCTTTATGATGGCAGTGTTTTAGAGCACAGGTACACAAGTTTAAAAATGTTTTTGTTGTTGTTCCAGGATGTAAGAGTAGTTAGGGACAAAGAAAAACCATTTTCCTTCCATATGGAACAGGGGTTTGCTAACTCTGCTTATTTTTGGCTCAGTGCTACTTGTTCATGTTATGCTACTGAAACCTGCTAAAGTCCTGTTTCACGAATTATGAGGCTGTCCTCAGGGTTTAGCTGTGATGGGCTCTCAGTTGACTGAGGCTTCATCCCACTATCCATAAAGTCAAATCCCTGACAGCAGCCTTCCCGATGGAGTCTAAGTTAGGCCAAGTTAAAATAATTAACTACAGAGATGTTCAAAAGTGCACTAATCAGATACTAATGGAGCAGGATGAAATTAAATAGTCATGGGGGAAAAAAAGTCCTTTTTCCAAAAAGGAAAGCCTGTTAAAATTTTTAGGAGTGAAGAGAGTATCCAATTCAGAACAATGTCAAGAATGGAAAAGACTATTCCAAGGTGTCAGAGAAATAAGTTTGACTTTTAATTCATACAGAGAATACATTTTTGTGGTTACTAGAAATGTATTGCTAGTAAATGTATTACTCCCTTCTTTTTAGCCAGTACCTCAGCTCTCCCTCCCTAATGAAAATGTAATTTAGAGAATGTTTCACTGACCTCTTTCTTTGGGTGTAAAGTACTCTAGTTATAACTTGAACTCCTTAGCAATAATTAAATATAACTGAAGTTGCTGGATTATGATAAAATTATAGATACAATTTATATATAGGAACATACAAAAATTGTCAATGATGGCCTTTGATGAATTTATCTAAATTAATTCCAATTCTAGATTAAACTTTTATAAAATGACCGTGAAGGAAGCACAGTGTTAATATTGTTTGTAAAGTTTAGTATTTGCAAGGCAATTAAAACAAACTTCCAAATGAAGAAAGTTATAGGGTCATTTGCAGGCTGGGACCAACTTCTCCCTGAATTCAAAGTAACACTACTTTGTAGAGCGACGCAAGAGTCTTGTATCACTTTCCAACGATACCAGCAAAATGATGCATGAATTCATGCTCCGGAAAGGAAAAACAACAGTCAGGCCAGGCTGAAATGAGAGGGAGAGCACAAGCCAGAAGTTCACTCACATTCCCAGAAGCTGGGCTGAGTTTGTACTTTTAATAAATACCTCTCACCAAGAGGCTTAAGGTCTTAATATTTCATTTACCAAGGGACGTCCCTGAATATCTGCAGAAATCTCTAAAAGAAAAAAATCTACTTCCAAGTGAGACTTTTGACACACATTTACAAAATTGTTGTTAAGGTAACAATCTAGTGGAATAAGACAAGGCAGATTTCATTGATGTGTTAAATCTCATGTTAAGTAAGATTTGACTAGTCATTTGCAGATCTGATTTCTGGAAATATTGAGTAGAAATCCAGAATCACTGGGAGATAAATCTCAATGAAAACATTAATTTACTTACACTCAAATAACTCTCTAAACAGTCACAGCCCAATTTTACAACAAGATGTGCAACAAGCAGAGAAGGAAAAGGACAGACATTGCAATTAAGTTCTTGTCCTTTGGTGGCACAAGTTCTTGGAAGTTACTCTTGTCCAAATCCTTCTGTTTCTTCAATGGCAAATAACAGCTTTTCCTTCAGTTGCTCATAGCTCTTGTAGGGTGGCAGGTCCAGGCGATTAAAACTAAAAGTAAGAATTGTTAGCTTGAGAAAAGGAAATATACAAAGAATCATATGAGCAATGTAGTATATAACAACACTGGTTTTAAAGTCAGGTAAAAATGAGTTCAAATCCCAGCTCTGTCACTGGGCCTTTGAACATTGCTTTTACCTTTCTCAATTTTGGTTTCTTCTTTGGTAGCATGGAAATAACAATATTTACCTTTTAGGACAGAATGAAGAACAAGTGTTTATACAACACAGGGGCAAGAGTTAGTCCTCTCATACTCTCCTTAATCTAGATTAGTGGTCAGCAAACTTTTTCTGTGGAGGGCTAGACAGTAAATATAGGTTTTAAGTACAGATCTTCCCTGACTTATGATTGGGTTACATGTGGATAAACCCTATGATAAGTTAAAAGTATCATAAGTAAAAAATGCATTTTAATAAATCTAACCTGCCAAACATCGTAACTTAGCCTACCTTAAATGTGTTAAGAACACCTTCATTAGCCTATAGCTGGGCACAATTATTGAACATAAAACCCATTTTATAATAAATTGTTGAATATCATGTAATTTATTGGATAATGTACTCAAAGTGAAAAACAGAATGGTTGTATGGATATAGACTGGTTTAAATACACTGGTTGTTTACCCTCATAACTGCTGGCTGATTGGGAGATACAGATCACTACCACTGCCCAGAATCATGAGAGAATACCATACATATATTGCTAGCCAAAGAAAAGATGAAATTAAAAATTCAAAGTACAGTTTCTACCAAATGCATATTATTTTCACACCATCATAAAGTCAGTCAAGAAATCTTAAGTCAAACCATATTAAGTCAGGGACTGTGTACTACTTTAAGAAACAATTTTCTGCTTTAGTATCTAATATTCTAGTCCTACTGAATTTCTCTGTCCTATTCTTAGCTGTGAGGTCTTAAAGGGCATCTTCTAATTTGGGGCTACATTATTATCACCTTCATAAGGCACTGAGTTTGCCATTAAGGTTTTGGGCCTTCTGCTATATTTTAAGGGTAAGGCCTAGGCAGATGTTTGACATCAGAAAAAATAATGCTATCCACAAAGGGAAAATAAATCTATAATTATAACTTTTGTTACTTCTTGCAAATGAAAACATGGAACTTGACAAACTAATGAGGCTGGGTTTTGTGTGTGACTGAGAAAAACTGTTCACAGGAGTATAATGGCACAGTCTGTTCCAAGTTTGAAAAAAAGATGAGGTCAAATAAAAAATGTGCATGTGTACAAGATGAATGTACAAAAATCAACAGTATTTCTGTACATTAGCAATAATCTTAACAACCTGAAATGAAATTAAGAAAACAATTCCATTTATAATAGCTTCAAAAAGAATAAAGTATCCCCCAAAACTGATCTATACTGGGGCACCTGGGTGGCTCAGTGGGTTAAAGCCTCTGCCTTCGGCTCAGGTCATGATCCCAGGGTCCTGGGATCGAGCCCCACATCGGGCTCTCTGCTCAGCGGGGAGCCTGCTTCCCCCTCTCTCTCTGTCTGCCTCTCTGCCTCCTTGTGATCTCTGTCTGTCAAATAAATAAAAAAAAAATAAAAAAAAAAAATTAAAAAAAAAAAAAAAACTGATCTATACATTCAGAGCAATTTGTATCAAAATCCCAGTTGACATCTTTGTAGAAATGGACAAGCAGATCCTAAAATTCATATGGAAATCCAAAGGACTGAGAATATCCAAAACGATCTTGAAAAAGTTGGAGAATTCAAACCTCCTAATTTCAAAACTTATTACAAAGCTATAGTAATCAAGACAGTGTGGTACAACCATTAAGGAAAGACAAACAGATCAATGAAATAGACCCAGGAATCCCAAAATAAACTCATGTATTTATTTATGGTAAACTGATTTTCAACAAATGTGGCAATGTTATTTTTTAAAAACCACATGTATGTATATGAATCAAAATATAAAGGAACAGACACTAAAATAAATATAAAGGGCAGATGAGGAAAATAAAGGAATATCCAGCAAGGTTACTGAAATGTCTCACAAAATACAGTTCAAATATTGTTGATGTTAGGTGGGATTTCTACATATTGTATTTTGAATTAAAATTAGGGTTGTTTTTAGTTCTGTACATTTTTGGAAATGTGGTTAAGCTACATTTATAATAAGAAAATATTTGTTCTCCCCGAAACTATGAAAAGTTGGTATCTTCTGCTTTCAGAGAAAAGTTAAAAGTTTTCCTAATATCACATTAAAAAAAAAAAAAAAAATCCATGGCTAGGAAAAGGGACTGACTGCAAAGGGCCATAAGGAGTCATTCTGGAGTGACAGAAATAATCTAAAATTGGTTGATGGTTACTACTCTGTAAATCTTCTAAATATCACTGAATTTAAATGGATAACCTTATGACCTTAGTTTTACTGTATATAAATTATGCCTTGCTAAGGCTATAAATAATTCAATACCATGGGGAAAATATTTCATTTCTAATTTCCAACAGGCTTTAATATCTACAGGGTAATTGGAAAAAAGGTATTTACTCTTTCTGATTTTACTTACCACGTATGACTTCTGGGTAACCAATTTTCTTTCCCAACCTTTTCAATGCAGAATTTTTGTGGTCCATTACTCCCTAGAACAATGAAATCATCAACAGTTTGACACTTGGTGGTTCTCAAATTGTGACCCCCTCAGTCCGGCAGCATCAGCATCACCCAGGACCTTGTCAGAACCACAACTCTGGGCTCCTGGGTATCTCAAGTCGGTCAAGCGTCTGACTCTTGATTTCAGCTCAGGTCATGATCTCAGGGTCATGAAATCAAGCCCTGCATCAGGCTCTGTTCTCAGTGTGGATTCTGCTTGGCTTTCTGGCTCTCCCTCTACCCCTTCCCCCACTTGTTCATACACTCTCTCTAAAATAAGTAAAATCTTTCAAAGGAAAAAAACAAAAACAAACACAAACCCATAGGCCCTAAGCAAAGCCTACCGAACTGAATCAGAAACTTTGAGATAAGGCTAAGCAATGTGCGTCTGAACAGGCTTCCAAGTGATTCTGAAGAGTGCTAAAGTTTGAGAACCATTTTGTTAATGTATGCCCAAGAGAAGAAAATGCAGTTTTATCTGGCATTACTTTGCCAGAATAACAGAATGCTATAACTAATATACCTCACCTAATAACAGAACACCGAAAAAGCTTAATTTTAGCTTTAAACACAACAGGAAAACTACAACCGTCTTATACAATAAAGCTTGATTTAAATATAATCTAGTGAATTCAATATTAACAGTGCTTGTGCTTATAGGTCCTGCAGAAACCTTATACACTTACAACCCACTTCTTGTCTCTCCTCTCAGTTACCTTCTGTTGTCAACAGAGTGAATGGTGATCCTAAAGCACGGGTTTTCTAAAAGGTCACTACCAATCCCTAGAAAGTATTTATTGGTAGTTACAATGATTGGTGGTGTTACTGGACTTTAGAATGGGCCAGGCAAACTAAATGTTGGCAATGTGTGGGGCAGTCATACTCAAAGAATTTTCTCATGTCCTCATGTCCCCCTTGACCACTGCAAATACGCACTGGTAGTACTTTTGACTGAATAACATCAAAGTATTTGCACAAGTAGTTAACATGAAAAGCCCAGTAAGATAGGAAATGGTGATTATGAAAAATGATAGTTAAAATTATTAAATAATTAAACTCAAAATTACATTAACTCACTCTGAACATTCTCTCTAGTCAATATATTACAGCCTTTCTAACCACAAAGAATGGAACATTTTAATGTGCTAATTAATATATAACAGAAGAGTCTGGATTACATTAAAAAGACAAGAGAATCAAATACTAAAAGAGAAAAAGAGAAAATGAAGGGATCTTAGTGAATTTCACCAGTAAAGCTATCTTACAAATATGTCATATCATCCTAAGTGCTTTCTAAAACTTTATGGAATGGTAAGACATCAAGTTGTATACATTATACATACTGAAATTATTTTTAGGTTGCCTGTTTTCAATCTTATTCTGACATTGCCCCTAAACCACACAAGTTTTATGTGGACTCTTGCACCTATGTTCCTATTTTCAACCCATTTCAACTTTCAAATAATATGGTCTCCGAGGACTTTTTATGTATCAGTGGAATTTCATCATAGATACTACCTCATTTTTCTCCACTTTGATCATCTCTAATTTATTCTGGCAAGTCTATTATCCCTACTTCATTTAGATTATTTCCCTGTTTTTCTTTCTTTTCTAAGTAGGTTCCACACCAGCATGGAGCCCAACGTGGGGCGTGAGCTCACAACCATGAAATCAAGACCTGAGCGGAGATCAAGAGTTGGATGCTACACTAACTGAGCCACCCAGCTGTCCCTCCCTCTTTTTCTTATCATACTTAAGTCTATTATTTCTTGCCCTTTCTTTTCTTTTAAAGGTTTTATTTATTTATTTATTTGTCAGAGAGAGAAAGTGAGCAGACAAGAAGGGGAAGCAGCAGGGAGTGGAAGAAGCAGGCTCTCCGCTGAGCAGGGAGCCTGACACCAGGCTGGATCTCAGGACCCTGGAATCATGACCTGAGCCAAAGGCAGATGCTTAACCAACTGAGCCACCCAGACATCTCTATTTCTTGCTCTTTCTGTCTGTTCTTTCATATTGCAGTGTTTATTATATAGAAAGCTTTCCTATCTTATCTTAAACCCAAACCTTTTAAGTAGGAACAATTACCTATTAACTAGTGTCTTCTAACAGTTTTTCCGAAATATACACTGACAAAAGTATTATTTCATTATAAGTCACTTTTATTTTATTTTTTATTTTTATTTTTTTAAAGATTTTATTTATTTGTCAGAGAGAGAGAGAACACAAGCAGGCAGAGCAGCAGGCAGAGGTAGAGAGAGAAGCAGGCTCCCCACTGAGCAAGGAGCCCGATGCGGGACTTGATCCCAGGACTCTGGGATCATGACCTGAGCCGAAGGCAGTGGCTTAACCAACTGAGCCACCCAGGCGTCCCTATAAGTCACTTTTTAAAAAAATTAACATATAATGTATTATTTGCCTCAGGGTAAGCCTGTGAATCATCAGGCTTACACACTTCATAGCACTCATCATAGCACATACCCTCCCCATAACCCAACCACACTGTAAGTCACTTCTTAAAAATTTTAGTTAGGCTAAGTTTTTATATTTTTTTGAGATTGTAGGTACTTTTATCTCATGTCTACCAGTTTTATTCCAGAATGTAGAGGGTATTATAAATATTTGTTACAGAAAAGGGATGTTAGATCTGTCAAAGTTGAAATCCAACACATTACAGTGTTATATACATTATTCTTATAACTTCCTCCTCCTACACTGAGTAGAAGGTTAAACCAGATGGCCTCTAAAATTCTATGAACCACAATCTCCTCTCCGCCTTCCACAGGTATACTCCTGTATTAGATAGCTTCATCCAACCCCAAATATTATTCCCAAGAGCAGATCTAGTTGTTATCTCTTAAATGATCAGATTTCTAGTTTATACTGAAACTTATGCCACTTTTTTCCTCATTATGGTTACTACCTTACTTCCTGACCCACCAACATGGTTTTTCTTTTTCAAATTAAGATAGCATTCTCAAAAGGTACACCTCTCCAAAAATTTACTTAGTAATAATAAACCTTCTCTGAGACCTCTCTAGAGCTGGACTAAAAAATCTCCTTATATTGCTTCTGAGAGACTAGAATATTTATTTCTCCTCTTCCCTCTCTGGCTCTAAATCCTTTAAGTTTGCCTCTAGGCTATTTCTGTCTCATCCCTAAATACAGGTGTTTCTAAGCATCAGTCCTCTACTCTTTGTATTCTATTTCTGCATTAGCCGACCTATTCTAATAGCTTCAAGTGTCACTGCTCTACTCATACTTTGGCAATACCCACTCAACTGTCCCTCTGGCTTCCTGGTATTCTTCTGGTTGCCTGGCTATCACCTTGAACTCGAGCCATTCATTATCTTCCCTCAAAACCTCTAAACCATATTCTTTACACTTTGTAACTTCTCCATTTCTCCATTTTTCAAAACATGGTTTTATCCTTGACATTCTTCCTTTATAGCTCATCTTCTAATCTCTAATCAAGTTCTGTTGCTACCTTTGGAACTTCTCTAGCATTTATCCCTTCTTTTCCATCCCTACCTCCATCTCCTAAGATTAACTGCTCCAATATTTTCTTCCTCTCTTCAGGGTTTCCCTTATCCTTTAATGCATGCTATACCTTGCTATCAAGTCTTCCTAATACGCAGCTTCAGCAAGTTTTCCTCTCTTCAAAAATTTCCACAGCTTCCAATACCCTCAGAGTAATGGCCAAAATTATTCTGGTCTGGCTTTTAGTCACTGTATCCAAAATTGCCTACTTAGTTCTTCAGTTCTCCTTCAGCTGAAACAGACTTAGGGATCATAACTTCTGTTCTCCTGTGGTACTTGGCATAATGCTGGTGTTAAAGATTTGAATTTACTTTATTATCAATCACAAAATTATTTTCATGGTCATTCATGTCCAAACACCACACATTTTGATCAGTGAATACCATGTGACAAGCACTATGTGAGGCACCAGAAATAAAAAGATGAAGATATGGATCTGTATCTCAAGGAGCTCCAGGTATAATAGAGAAGACTGTTAAACTCATCATTAAAATATAGTATAACACAATCAAAAGTGCCTGGCTCGTAGGAGACTCTAAAATGTTTACCAATGACTGAATGACCAAACAGATTTACATATAGAATATTGCTATCCTATGAAGTTAAAATGTGGAATCCAGCCTTAGGTTAAAAATTTCTAGGGGTAAAGACTACAAAGTGAATTAAAAGTTTACACAAATCCAGGATAATTGTGACTGGTTAGGAAAATGTCTATTCTTTTAAGTTTTATAGACACTGATTTGATGTAACTGTGTGGTAATTTTCTGTATAGGAAAAGTGATCCTGTATACACACCCATGAGGTCAGCAAATCCTCCAACTGGCAATCGGCAGGTTCCAGTAACAAACTGCAGAAGTCTCATTCTCTTCTCATTATCAATTTCTTTAACAAACTGTTAAAAAAAAATACACACGTAAAGAGATATACAGGTCCTATGTTATGTTTAGCATAAATAAGAATGATAAACAATCATTTCAAATGAACTCCCAGTGTTAGATGCACTAGATAATGACTATACTCCACCACTGTGGATGGAGGAGCTTCTCCATGTTTGTCGAAGCCCTGCCAACCTTCCCGATATAAATCTTAGGACCATATCCTTTTAGGGAGACAGAAAAAGGAGGGTGCCCTGGGCCTAAGAGCTCCGTACTCAAAGTCTCAAGATGAGCTCTTTTAGAGAAGCCCCTTATTTTACCTCCCAGATAGGCCTGTCCTATAGGATGCTCATGTGGTTACACAGGACACAGAGCTTGAGTAAGTATGGACTTTTTTAATTTTATGAACACATGAAATCAAGCTCCTAGAATTCTCATCCACATATATCTCAATAACCTCCTTCTCTTAATGTTTGCTAGGTTTTGGTGTAGCTATACACTATCAGAATCAGGTGGCTTCCAACTCCTACAACTCTGGCTTAAAACATTAGGTTTATGGAAGATGCTTTCCAGCCTGTAGCACAAATGTTTTGACTCAGCCAAATATTTTTTGTAAATAATTTGTATCTTATTGTACTACGATCAAGTATTTTCAAATGCTAATTCTATTTGCTATAGAAGCTCAGTTCATCTGAGTTTCTTATTAAATTTTTTTTTTAAAAGATTTTATTTATTTATTTGACAGAGAGAGAGAGATCACAAGTAGGCCGAGGGGCAGGCAGAAAGCGGGGGGGGAGTAGGTTCCCTGCTGAGCAGAGCTCCATGCAGGGCTTGATCCCAGGACCCTGAGATCATGACCCAACCCAAAGGCAGAAGCTTAACCCACTGACCACTCAGGCACCCCCTTATGAATTTCTTTATATAAGTAACAGACATCTTTTAAAATTTTATTTTCTTATTGTGGTAAAATACATATAATTTTTCATTTTAAGCACATAATTCAATGGCATTAAGTATGTTCACACTGCTAAATAGCTATTACCACTATTTCCAGAACTCTGTGACCCTAAACAAAAACTCTGAATTCATGAAATGTATCTTCTCATCCCCCAACCACTCTTGTTAACCTCTGTTCTACTTTGTCTCTATGAATTTGCCTATTCTAGATACCTCATATAAATGGAATCATGGACTCATACAATATTTGTCTTTCGTGATTGGCTTATTTCACTCAGAATAATATTCTTAAGGTTTATCCCTGTTGCAGCCTGTCAGAATTTCCTTTCTCCTGAGGGTTGCTGGAGTAGAAGGGGGTGGGAGGGATGGGGTGGCTGGGTGATGGACACTGGGGAGGATATAAGTTGTGGGGAGCATTGTGTATTGTGTGATGAATCACAGACCTGTACCCCCGAAACAAATAATAAATTATATGTTAATTAAAAAAAAGAACTTTCTTTCTCTTTAAGGCTGGATGATATTCCATTGTATGTGAACACCACATTTTGTTTATCCATTCACCTGTTGATGGCACTTAAATTGCATCTACCTTTTCGCTATGGTGAGTAACGCTGTTATGACGGCAGGTATAGAAGTATGTGTTTGAGTCTTGCTTTCACTTCCTTTGGCTATACCTAGGAGAACTGCTGGATACGTTAATTTATATTTGCTTTTTGAGGAGCCATCAAATTGTTTTCCACAGTTGTGCACCATTTTACATTCCTACCAGCAATACAAGAGAGTTCCAATTTCTGTACATCCTCAACAAGGATGATTATTTTCTGTTTCTTGGTAATAGCCATGACAGTAATGGATATGAAATGGTGTCTCACTGTGGTTTTGATTTGCACTTCCCTAATGATTAGTGATTTGAGCATCTTCTCATGTGCTTATAGCAGGCTTTTTTTTTTTTAAAGACACACCACTGTGATTCCAAACCAGGTCGCTCCCTTAAGTTTTGCCTTCTGAACAGTATATAATTCTTAATGAGGTATGAATGACGAAAACCATACTTTAGACAGTTCCATAAAATTCCAAAAGCATTTAGATCAAATGCAGGGGAATCATCATCTGAGGTTGTCTTATACCCTGGGCAAAGGTAAAAGGTGTGTGTTGCTTAATCAGCAAAAGTTTTTAAAAATGTTATAATCTTTTTTAAAAAATTTAATTCCAGTATAAACATGTAGTATTACATTAGTTTCAGGAGTACAATATAGTGATTCAACAATTCTATACATTACTCAGTGCTTGTCACGGTAAGTCTACTCTTAAACCCCTTCACCAATTTTACCCACTCCCACAAGTCCACTCTGACCATCAGTTTGCTCTCTCTAGTTAAGAGTATGTTTCTTGGTTTATATTTTTCTTTGTCTGTTTCTTAAATTCCATATGAGTGAAATCCTATGGCATTTGTCTTTTTCTGGCTGACTTATTTCACTTAGTATGATACCCTCTAAATCCATTCATGATATTGCAAATGGCAAGAGTCCATTCCTTACCCCCTCCAATAAAATTTCATTCTTTTTAATGGCTGAGTAATATTCCAGTGTGTGTGGTTGATATACACATTTTATAAAACACACACACACACACACACACATATCTTGATCCATTCATCTATTAATGGACACTTGGGCTGCTTCCATAACTTAGCACTTCCCTAATCTATTCATTTATTATAATGCACAGAATGGAATGAGGGGCCTGAATATACTGGTACATTTTGTTCTGTGACTTTCTTCCGTATATGGTAAGCAGTTTCTAAAAAATTATTATGTTCTGCCAATTGAAATAAACCGAGACAAACCTGCCAAAACCACATGATTTGTTTGCTTGTCCTGGTGTAATGGCGGTAGATGGCATGTCTTTGCCAGTCATTCAAGTCAATCTCTTGCATTCCACATAAAAGGACCTTTGGAGATTAAAAAAAAAAAAAAAGGTTTCTTTACAACTTATATAAAACTGCTAGACATAGAAAAGAAAAGACTAATATTCAACAACTTTCAAAAATCAAATTAATCAGGAGGCTTAGGCTTGTAAGCTGTGCATCAAGAACTGTGTCTACATTACTTAAGAAGGTTGAGTTTTCATGGACGGTGTCATATATATATATACATATTCAGGTAAGTCAGTCATTCACTGTAGAGAAGTTTTGATAGTAATTCTTTTTTTGGGGGGTAACTTTTTATTTATTTGATAAATTAATGGACTTTTTAAACCACTAGGGATGCTTCAAAACATCCTGCTAGCATAAAAAGTACTATTGCTACTGGAAAGATGAGAAAGTGAGCTGAAAGCAGACACCTGAAGGCATTATTTACCAGCATGCTGAAGAGGAAATAAGAAAAACTCATTACCTCTAATTCCTTTGCATCAAAGTATTGCAAATACTGCTGGGGAAGAATTTCATTAAAGCCCTCAAAGAAAGCTTGTGTCTGTTCTTCAACACCTCGAGACAACCTCCATTCAGCTACCATTCTGGTAAATAAATATTAAAAAAACTGTCAGGAAGTTTAGATTTTACCTTTAAATTCCCAGTGTAAAAATAGTTTTTAAAAACTTTAATATGAAAAACTTCAAATATTTATAAAAGTAGGATATAATGAATCCTATGTATATCCCAGCTTCAACACAACACCAATCTATATCATTTTAAACGTAAATAATTCAGCATGTATCTCTGTAAGATAAAGCCTCATTTTGAAAACCACAATTCTATTATCACACAAAAAAGTAAATAATTCCTTTATAGCCAAGTATTCAGTTCTCAAATTCTGACTCAATTTAACATACTGCTTTAATCAGCATCTAAAAAGGGTTCATACAATCTAAAAGTCTCTTAAGCTTTTAACTTATAGATTCCCCCTTGCAATTTTTTAAAATGAAAATGGTTTTTTTGAAGATTTATTTATTTGAGAGAGAGAGAGAGAAAGAGATAAAGAGAGAGCACGTGTTTGGGGCACCTGGGTGGCTCAGTGGGTTAAAGCCTCTGCCTTCAGCTCAAGTCAGGATCCCAGGGTCCTGGGATCAAGCCCTGCATAGGGCTCTCTGCTCAGCGGGGAGCCTGCTTCTTTCTCTCTCTGCCTGCCTCTTCGCCTACTTGTGATCTCTGTCAAATAAATAAATAAAATCTTAAAAAAAAAAGAGAGAGAGCGCATGCACACGCACACAAGAGTATGAGAGTGTTTGGCGCTGGTGGGGGGACTGACTAAGGGAGAGAGGGAGAGAAAGACTCTCCAGCAGACTCCCTGCTGAGCAAGGAGCCAGTACAGGGGCTGGATCCCACCACCATGAGATCATAACTGAGCCACCCAAGCAACCCTTGAATGAAAATACTTTTAGTGAAGATTCTCTACTAAATAGTCTAAATTTCAACTTTGACTTTTAAAAGATTTCATGTGAGGGGGCGAGAGAGAGAGAGAGAGAGAGAGAGAATGAACAGGGAGAGAAGCAGAGGGAGAAGCAAACTCCCCGCTGAGCAGGGAGCCCAACACAGGGCTTGATCCCAGGACCCCAGGATCATGACCTGTGCCAAAGGCAGATGCTTAACTGACTGATCCACCCAGGCGCCCCTTGAAATTCTTTTCAATGACTTGATGTTACATGGCAGTGATTACAGAGCTGGTTTTTAAAAGAGTGATCTAGCACTATTTTTAAAAAATGAAAGTGCTGTATAACCAAAATTCTTTTCTATCCCTTTATATATAATCTTCAAACTGTGGTAAAACTGAAAATATACCAAGAAAGGGAGTATAAAACCTAGCAGTACCCGTTAGATTAATTCTCTGTAAAATTTAGTTTGAGTTAACCTGGAGCATATGCTCTCTCCCCTGCTGCCTCCACAAGAATCTGTTCTACCTTCTTATTTTTTCTGCCACTGGGCTAGTTAAAAGAAATTTAGATTGTCTACTGAATTTGGTCCTTAATTTCTTGTGATGTAGTCTCTCTATCTACCATTTGGATGTAGCTGTAATTGTTCTCTTAACAGTTACTGTAACTTACTAGCCTCCACATCTTCTAAAGATTCCTCATTTTCCCTGGCCTCTGAAATGCAGGACATGTCAGAATGAGCTATCAGCTCTGAGCTGCCTGACAGCACCATCACACACTACACTTCCCTACTTACTACTTGTGACTTGTGCTTTCCAGCCTTCGTATCTCTGCTCATGACTACAACTAGAAGAAATAATGTCTCCCTCCCTTAACTTCCCATAGCACATTCCTTGTTCCTCTCTCAACATACTTGTAAGGTAGAAAGTGATCATGTCCATGTCCTTGATCAATTCTCATAATGATTAGTAAAAAGGCAAACATTATCTTTTGAAATACTGTCCACTAGTATTACTAGGCAACTGTCAATGTGCTGTAGCCATTGTATGTTAAAAGGAGCATTCTCTCTCACCTGATATATTCCTCTTTATTTTCTTCTGTCACAAGAATATTGCCACCATTAGGTTTCAAATCATGACTCTTGATTTCACCTAAAATTTCTTTATCGACAGAGAAGTACATTTCCAAACCACATTCCTCAATATTGTTTTCTCTGCACAAATGAAATTAACACTATTTGTTAAATTCAATCATAAAAAAATTTTTTTAAAGAACTGTGTTCTTCAATAATTACTATAAAACTATAGTATCAAAATAAGAAAACTGGAGAGATTATATACTCTTAAGTCATCATATTTTTACCTAAGATATTGGGTGTATTCTGTAAAATCCATCATATTAAAACCCAAGACAAGTTTAATATTTAAATTCAATAAACCAATTACATGCTTACAGTTTGGATAAGTTACTAACACCATAATGAAAGCATATAAGATTATATTTTGATAAATTAAATGGAAACAAACTTACTTAACCCAGATGAGAGAATTGTAAAATTCTGGATCAATAGATTCTAAATCCTTGAGTCCAACTGGTTTGTTCAATATACGTTTATAGAATGGCAAAGAAAAACCTGTGTCTATGAATTTCCCATGGAAGAGAGCCTATATGAGAAGAAAATAATACCACATTTATGATAATTTTATAATAGAATGTTAGATGAATTCTTCCCCTAAAGCTCCTCTGTCATCTATTATGGCACATTTTTGGGAAAAGGGCAAAGATAACAAACCAATCTTAAAATAATGTCTTAGTAATGAGAAAATTTCAAATGAGAAGATTAAAGAAACATGCTTTAGTATTGCTGAGCAACAGTTCTCCATCCATACTTACCATGGCAATAAACCTGCCAATAAAACGAAAGTATTTCAGGTGATCTGGATTGATGTAAGAAGCAGGATTAATCTGCAAGCAGTAGTTATCCTTCCCTGCATATTCAAACAGGCAATACATTGGGTTCAACACTTCGTGTGACAAAAGAAAGAACCACTCTCTGAAATCAAAAGAAAATTTAGGGTGAAAAACCATGCCAACAAATCAAAGAGCAGTGCTACAAAGATCTCAGGAATCTACACTCCTCAGCTGGTGATAGTTTTTTAATCCCATGTTGATTTTTAACTGTTTCTGTTCAAACAGACATCTAGTTTAGAGAGATGATATTTACATACTACATATTATATTTCAAAGAATCTAAGACGTCAACTTAAAAGACACCGTTATTTGATGAACCACTAAAAATTTTTCTAATTATAATTGTGATACATAGTCTAATGTCAGAGCCATTAAAATGTTAGTCTTAGAATCAATGAAATACTATATAGAGGCAAGTCTAAAATTCACTACTAACCCATGTAGTCAGAGCAGCTGAAAGAAGTCTAGTATTACTCTATCTGTTACTAAACCTCACAGAAATCCTCATCAAATGCCACTGCTCTCTAAATTTTAGGTAAATACGAGAAAACTTCCAATTTCACAAAGACAATAAAACACTTAACTGAAGCCACTCATTCATTAGAAAAATGCTCTGAGGAGCTCTAATTCAGCGGTTGAAAATACCAACCAATATTAACACAAGATTATAGTGACTACATAACATGGGTTGGCCTCATAGAACCGTAGGCAGAACAGATCTGGGGCAATACAGGTGATACTACCTTGTGTCGGAGATTTCTTTTTCTTTTCTTTTTTTAAGATTTTTTTTTTTATTTATTTGACACAGAGAGAGAGACAGCAGGAAAGGGAATACAAGCAGGGGGAGTGCGAGAAGGAGAAGCAGGATTCCCACTGAGCAGGGAGCCTGATGTGGGGCTTGATGCCAAGACCCTGGGATCATGACCCTAGCCGAAGGCAGACACTTAACGACTGAGCCACCCAGGCACCCAAGATTTCTTTTCCTGTGAGTTCATGGCCTCTAGTGGTAATGCTGCTTTTACTTCTTAATACTATTTAATTTTCTAATTTAAGAATAAATGATTGCTCTCCTCCTGAACTGCCTTTAACTCATCAAAATTCAGTGTTTCTATTCATATTTACTATTTACCAGTGGTTGCTTCATACATTTTGAAATGCGAACTTTAATATATAACATAAGTAAGAACTAAAATGCAGCCATCATTTAGTGAGCACACAAAAATGGAGGGTCTGAACTAGGTCACTAATAAACACTATTTCTACTCTTCACAATAATCCTAGAAAACTAGGAATGGTTTTTTTTACAGATGGAAGATATGTACCCGAGGTTGTACTACTGAGTACAGAAAAAGGATTCAAATCCAGTCTTGACTCCAAGGTTCTTGCTTTCTACACTGCCACTGCTATGCAAATATTTAACCTGATAAGCTATATTGTTATGCAACAAGCAAAGGAATTTCTTTGCCACCAGGGTTTGATTAGAAGCTCCAATATTAAGAAAGCAGAATTTAAAATTTCAACTCCTATTTTACACAGCCCTCTGTATTCTTAAAGCAGATATATTAATCTCAGTTGGGAATTGAGTGGCTACCATCTGTTATCAGTAATCTGTGATGGGTAAAATAACCTGATCACTACTATAGGGCCTTGTATGCTCACTCTGTGGAAAAAAAAGAGGTGGTAGACTGAAGACCGGCTTCTGGTTTGATGATACAAAGCTTGCATCCATCTTCATTATGTGCCATAGTTTAGTCTCTAAGCCTCATTATTACCTATAAAATTCTCACAGGGTTATCCTAAGGATTAAAATGAGTAATGTCAGGGAAATCACCTAGCAGTCCCTTAGAGAAAGTGCTGAATTAGTGTTTGCTGAACTTCTGTAGCTGCAGAATAAACGCACAATAATTTGCCAAATTCATTTTCCTGAAATGTAAGATTGAGAAAATACTTGCAAGCAAAGTGAATGATACCTTTGGAAGAAAGGAACTAAGTTCTGAGTATTCATATTATCACTACCTTGCTACACCTCCATAATCTAAACCTTCTTCTCCTGGAAAAATCACCCACAAACGTCTTCGCAGATCTTGGGGATTGAAGCTCATTATCTACAAAATAATAAAGTAAAAGAATTGGTAAAAGCAGTTATTGAAACATCGTTCTACCACTTCCAGGTCTAAAATATTCTTCATTATATGTAACTTGAGTTTCCCATGACATAGAATGGTATTCATGGTCTAGTCAGCAACATACATACAGAAAATACATTAAAGTTTTATAATATTTTATATAAATATACATATCTATGTTTTAATATACTTTATACATAATTTTCTTTTAATACCTTTTGACTTATCAGGTTGCTTCTGTCACTTGCTTACTAGAGCAGAGTAACTGTAGGCATGGTCCTTTGTTAGGTCATTTGGGTGGTGAAGGGCTTGGTTTGGTTATGTTTGGATTTGTTTTATAGCCAAAAGTACACATAGCAGCATTTGGCTAACAGAAATGAAAACCAGTGGCTACAGAGAGAATATAGTTAATTTTGGAAACTCATTCTCAGTGGAAACCTATAAATACCTGGAAAAATACTCAAATTTTGTGTCCTACTACAGTGGTTAATAAGAACACCTTCATGTTTGAAGGACAGCACCATTACTGAAATATAATGAGTAGATGATTTGGGTTTTTCCCTTGTAAAACTATTTAATTACTTGCCTAAAATTTGGCCAAAGGACATTACATGCATTATTTACTTTTATAAAAAAAGTGACAGGGCCTGGACAAAGAGAAGTGGACTTAATGCCACTCTTTTATGAAATCAGAATGAACTCTCACATTAAATATCCAAAGAGGCCCAGTAAATAACCTGCTTATGCCAGGGCTCACTTCATGTCACTTTCATGAATTCATCTGCTACTAAAAAACCCAGATGTAACAAAAATTCAATGCTTATGGCAAATATTCTACAAATATACTAGGTTAGCTATATAGCAATACAAATGACAGACAGTAAAGGTTAAAATATTTGTTTTTATTGGTTTGTTTCTTGCTCCCTCTGGCTATTCCTTGTCCCTATGGCTGCTCCCCAAAACCTAGGACTGTTTTTGATCTCTCTTGACGTTCCCCCAAACCTGAGACTGCTCTCCCTTGGAAATTTTACTTGTTTTTTTTTGCCCTGTGTCTGATACTTTAGGATTCCCTGGGAAAAATATCTTTAAATAGTGCCCTTTAACAAATGTCTAATATAAAAAATTTTTTTTTCTCCTGCAATTTCCCCAATGACCAAAACACTTACTACCCCAAACAACTTTATCCACCACTTAGGAAGAAAATTTGATGCTAATTTTGCTATCAGCTCTGTCACTCTTCCAAAGCAAATTTTTCTTGTAAGTTTCAGTTTCACATGTATTTGGTGAATACCAAATCTAGATGACAATTTTAAACAACTGTTTTAGTACCCTCTGGTCTGTCATTCTGCGAAAGTCTTTAGGTTTCAAAAGTTAAAAAATAAAGGGATATTCAATCATGTTTTGTACTTTTCAGCACTGCAATAACAAGTTATGTTCCAAGAAACTGGCCCACCAGAGGCTGACTACACAGTAGTTATGAATATGAAAATTAGAAGCAGGTAATTACTGGAGTTGGGAATGGTCTTAGAGACTTACATTAGATGAAGGGAATCACTCATGATTCTCTAAATGGCCTTAGTCAGGTTCTGCTGCTAAAAAGCTACCTGTTCTTACTTAGCAAGATGCCAACTGGCTTTTCTCTTCAATGTTAATTACAAAGATTCCATTAGGAAATGTACATAACTGTATGACCTCCCAACCATCTCAGAAAATTTCTTTTTCCTCTGCATTCATTTTGAAGCTGTAGCTACCACAATTATCACAGGGGCTTGATAATAAAAAATTATGTCCATATCCAGCCGTAAAATAAGGATTAAGTGTAAGTTAACAGGTTCTGAGGACAATAAAAATAATTTGTTGACTACTTCTGAAAAAATATCTTTTTTTACTTTGGTACTGTAACCAATGACCAACTTCTTTCCTACATAAAAAAAACTTTTATAAAAATTATGAATGACAAATGCTGATCGTAAAAATGCAAGTAACACACATGTATAAAAGCAAAGTCATCCCCTCTTCCTTTCTACCCATCCAATAATGTTCTACTTCTGTCTACCAAAAACCTACTTTTTTACTCAAATATCTACTTCAAACTGAACACTTAGCTTAGAAATGAAAACCTGAAACTTACCAATTACTTTAAATTATTCTGACATTTCAAAAGCACAAGACGTATATACATACAAAACTATCTACATGTTCCTAAATTTTAAGTATGAATACAGATGGCAATACTTAATTTAAGAACTCCAAATCAAAAAGCCAAACTGTTAAGACTTGGAACCAAAAGTGGTTTTGGACAGGCAGCCACGGGGCTTTATCAAGTGGATAAGACAGTACCTGCTGAAAGGAATCTTCAAACAATGTCTTTCTTGTCACTGTAATCTTTATGTGCTGTGGCATGGCCAGTTGCTGAAACGTAAGAATGACTAAGTCAACTCTCTATTAAAATAGCCTACTGAAAAACCAGAAGAGTGAAGTTCTATTTACTTTTATCTTTGCTTAGAGAAAAAAGTAGACTGTGAATATGAATCTATTTCAGTAATGTTTAACCATGCATTTGTGAGCATTTATGCTAATTACAGATCATTTGATATATAACAAAAGAAAACAAAAAAAAAGAAAAAAGAAAAGATTTCATATGCAGTGCTTACTTAATGAGTCAAATAAATCTTTAATTTTACTTTCAGGAAGCTAACATTACTTTTGCTTGCTTGGGCCCAGTTAATTACATGAGTTTGAAGTTTAAAAATATTCATCATAGTAACACTTTGATTAGTACATTAATTTTACTTAGAACCCACAAAGAAATCATTAATTCAGGAAATATGTGTCAGAAATAACTGATCACATCTGGGAAGAATACTCAGAATGTAAATATAAATATAAATATAAATATAAATAAATATCAAAGTCATTTATATCAAATGTTAGATATGAAAGGGGCTGGTTACATAAATAAATAAAAAAGAAAGGGGCTGGTTACAATCAGTACATCAGAGAATGCTTTAACTCATTTGTTTGAAGATTTCTGTAATCTTAGAATTATGGGTATATGCTACTCTCCTTGAGTAGCAATTTTTTAATTCAAACTGTTTCAAATTTATTCTTCTGGACTACAGAAGCCACAAATGAGCTGATAAATTTTTTTCTTGCCCTAAAAATAGAAAAAAGAGATTCCAATGTTTCCCATTTTACTTGTTTTTCTACGGTTTAATTATTCTCACAATCACTGGTAATATAAGCAACATAACAAAAGAAAGGGAGTACAGGAAAAAAGTCCTGATACTAACCTGACACCAGAACCGGAAATACTGAACTTTTGCCTTGAAATCCCGTACATAGGCTATCTGTGGTCCATTGTCTCTGAGGAAAAATGTTAATATGACATGTATAACAGCTTGTGATATTATAGAAGGAAAGCAAAATACCATACCCCCTCAGTACTCAGTCAAATATAAAAATACTGTAGCATAGCACACTCCTAAACAGCACCTTTAAAAAAAAAAATTCCCAGGACTAGTTATAAGAGACAGAAATTTAGATCTTCTTAAAGGCATTGTTGGGGGATTTTCTTTTATATATAGTGAAATCTAACAGGACTAGGTAAAGGAAGTTCTATCTGGGAATGTTGCCTGTCCCCAAATCCATTCTTTCCTTTTCCTTAAATCAGACTTCTGATATCTACCTGGGCAAACTACTACCCAGAACAAAGATTACATTTCCCAGCATGGTTGTGTGACTTAACCATGGTTAATGAACTGTAAATGTATAGGACGGACTTCGCAAGGCTCTTTAATTTAAAGAGAGTGAAGATAGCTAGAGAAGGATTTTTTCTTTCCAATTTGTTGTTCCTCCATATTCCAACCTAGAGTGCACTGATAGCCGAAGTTTCAGCAGTTACCACACACTATGAGGTAACCTTGAGAAAAGAGCCAATGGTCTGGGATGGTAGAACAGAAAGAAAGAAGCCCAGATCACTGATGACACCATGGGGCTTCCAAGCAAGCCCTGGATTTTTTTTTTTTTTTTTTTAAAGATTTTATTTATTTCCCAGAGAGCAGGAGAGGGAGGGAGGGGGAGAGAGCGCAACGACGACGAGCCTAAGCAGGGGGAGTGGCAGGCAAGGGAGAAGCAGACTTCCCGCTGAGCAAGGAGTCAGTTGTGGGCTTGATTGATCCCAGGACCCGGAAACCAAAACCTGAGCTGAAGCAACCGCTTAACCTACTGCACCACTCAGGCACCCTACCTTGGACTTCCTTTAAATTCATTTTCTGTATGTTCAATGTAGAAATATAATTGATTTTAGGGGCGCCTGTCTTGGACAGTAGGTTTGTCTTGGGGTTGTGGGTTTGGGCCCTGCATTGGCTGTAGAAATTATTTAAAAGTAAAGTCTTCCAAAGATAAAGAAAAAGAAGAAAAAGAAAAAGAAAAGGAGGGAAGAGGGGGGAGGAGAGTTCCTAATAAGTTGGTAAGTGTTCCCATCACTTTTATTCTATGAAAGAATTTGAATAGGGTTGATATTACTTACAGTTTTGATAAAATTTACCAGTGGAGGCCATCTAGGCCAGAATTTTCTTTGTGGGAAATTGTTTAATTATGAATTCAATTTCTTTACTAGAGATAGGGTTATTGAGACTTACTATTTTTTCTTGTATTCATTTTGGTAACTTGTATCTCTCAAGGAATTTGTCAGTTTGACCTAAAATATCAAACTTCTTGAAGCACTTGGGTGGCTCAGTTGGTTAAGTGTTCGACTCTTGATTTTGGCTCAGGTCATGATCTCAGGGTCTTGAGACTGAGCCCCCCACATCAAGCCCTGCATTGGGCTCAATGCTCGGCTTAAGATTCTCTCTTTCCCTTTCCCTCTGCCCCACCCCTCTCTCTCTTAAAAAAAAAATAACACACACACAAAATTCTTGGCATTAGGTTGTTCAAGTATATACTCTGTTATCTTTCAATGTTGTGTAGGATATGTAGTGTTTTTCACTTTCATATTAATTTGTGTTTTCTTTTTTTTCTCTCTTCAGGTTTATTAGAGGTTATTCATACCATTAATCATTTCCAAGATCCAATGTCTAGCTCTGAGTTCTCTATAATTTCATTTTCATTTTGTTCAAATCTGCTTTTATGCTTATTTCCTTTTTTGTGCTTATTTGGGGTTTAATAAACTTTCTTCTTCTAGACTAAGGTGAAAGCAGAGATCACTGATTTTATATCTTTCTCCTTTCTTTTTTTTTTTTTTTTAAAGATTTTATTTATTTATTTGACACATGGAGATCACAAGTAGGCAGAGAGACAGGCAGGGAGGGGGTGGGAAGCAGGTGGGGTGGGGTTGGGAGGCAGGCTCCCTGCTGAGCAGAGCCCAAAGCAGGACTGGATCCCAGGACCCTGAGATCATGACGAGCAGAAAGCAGAGGCTTATCTAACCCACTGAGCCACCCAGGTGCCCCCTTTCTTATTTTCTAATCTAATCCTATATAGAGCAATAAAATTTCCCCTGAGGACTATTTTTGTTAAACCCCACAAACTGTGATATGTTGCATTTTTATTATCATTAAATACAACGTTTCCTAATTTCTTATGACTTCATTGAGCTAGGGGTTATTAGTAGTTTGCTTAATGATGGAAAGAAACATATTTCTGTCATAAATGAACCACTATGGTTTTATGGTTTTTTGTTTTATGTAACCAAACTTAACTGAAACTAAAAATAGATGATACTAAAGAATCTATTATTTATTTGCATTCTTAAATAATTTTTTCATTTTTAAAATTTAAATTCAGTTAACATATATTATTGGTTTTTGAGGTAGAGGTCAGTAATTCCTCAGCCTTATATAATACTCAGTGCTTATTACATCACATACTTTCCTTGATGTCTAACATCCAGTTACCCCATCCTACCTCCCTCCCCTCTAGCAACCCTCTGTTTGTTTCCTATAATTAAGAGTCTCTTATGGTTTGTCTACCTCTGTGATTTCATCGCGTTTTATTTTTTCCTCTCTTCTCCTATGATTCTGTTTTGTTTCTTAAATTCCACATATAAGTGAGATCATAGGATAATTATATTTCTCTGATTGACTTATTTCACTTGCATGATACCCTCTAGTTCCTTCCAGGTCCTTGCAAGTGGCAAAATTTCATTTTTTTGATTGCTGAGTAGTACTATTCCATTGCATATATATACATCTTCTTTATCCATTCATTTGTCGATGGACATCTGGGCTCTCTGCAGCTGGGCTACTGTGGACATTGCTGCTATGAATAATGGGTGTAGATGCCCTTTCGGATCACTGTATTTTTATCTTTGGGGTAAATAATGATATTTAAATAATTTTTAATTTCATTAAAACCTAAGTGGCCTGAATTTCTAGTTTCTGCTTTACACAAAGTTTTTTAAGATTTTATTTTTATGTAATCTCTATACCCAACATGGGGCTTGAAGGCACAATCCTGATATCAAGAGTCACATGTCGTACCAACTGAGCCAGCCAGGAGTCCCCAAAGCTTTTAAGAAGCAGAAATTATAAAATTCAAAAAGCAACAAGAGATAAACATTGCCCTGATATCAAAGCCAGAGATACTACAAGAAAACTACTGACCAGTATTTCTTATGAACTGATATGAGTCCACAACAAAGTATTAGCAAATTGAATTCAGCAGAATATTAAAAGGAATGTGGGATTTACTCCTGGAATACAAGGATTGTTCAACATATGAAATGTCAATTCTATACACCAGACTTCAATAACAAAGGCAAAAAACCTCCACATGATCATCTCAATTGAGGCAAAAAAAAAAAGAGAGAGAGAGAAAGAAAAAAAAAACACTGATAAAGTTTAACATCCTTCTATGGTGAAAAAAACACTCAACAAAAGAGGACTAGAAGGGAACTCCCTCAGTATAGGAGCCATTTACGAACATCCCACAGCTGACATACTCAATGGTGAAAATGAAAGCTTTCCTTCAAAGATCAGGAACAAGGAAAGGACGCCTGCTTTCTCTTCTACTCAATATAGTATTAGAAGTTCTAGCCAGGGCAATCAAGCAAGGAAAAGAAAAAAAAGGTGTCCAGAAAGGAAGAAGTAAAAATTATCTTTGTTTGAAGATGACATAATCTTCTATTTAGAAAATCCTAAAGATTCCAAAGAACTATTAGAACCAATAAGTACATTCAGCAAAGTAGGATATAAAACAACACAAAAATCAGTTGCATTTCTATACACTAATAATCAATCTGAAAAATTAAAAAAAAAAATCCCATTTACAAACAGCATTAAAAAAAACTCTGGAATTAACCAAGCCAAGGAGAAAAGATTTGTATACTGGAAAACTACAAACTATTGTTGAAAAAGAAATTAAAGGTGACAAATAAATGTAAAGACACCCTATGTTCAGGCTTAAAAGATGTCATATTGTTAAGATGTCAAAACAAACCAAAGAGAAATACAAATTCAATGCAACCCCTATCAAAATCCTAATGACATTTTTTGCAGCAATACAAAATTCTATTCTAAAAATCACGAAATCTCAGGGACCCTAAAAAGCCAAAGCAATCTCAAAAAAGAACTTGGAGATCTCACATTTCCTGAGTTCAAAATTTAGTAAAACCTACAGTCATGAAAACAGTGTAGAACTAGAATAAAGACAACTACAATGACCAATGAAATATAAACTCCAGAAATAAACCTTGCATATATACGGTCAAAGGATTTTTGACAAGGGTGCCAAGATCATTCACCAGTCTTTTCAACAAAGGCTGCTTGGAAAATTGGATCATCACTTGCAAAAAAATAAAGTTGGACCCTTTCCCAATACCATTTACAAAAACTAACTAAAAATGGACCCAAAACCTACACCTAAGAGTTAAAGCTATAAAACTTACATGAATGCACAGATTAGGAGAAAATAATAGCAAATGATGTATCTCATAAGGGATTAATATCCAAAATATAAAGAACTTCTAAAATTCAACAATAAAAAACAACCAGATTCAAAGATGGGCAAAGAAGTTGAACAGACATTTTTTTAAGGAAGATATACAAATATTTGGTCAATTAGCACATGAAAAGATGCTCAAAATCATGAATCATTAGAGAAATACAAATAAAAACTGAGCGAAACCACTTCATAACCATCAGGTTGACGGTTTTAAAAAACAAATAGAAAACAACAACCACTGACAGGAAAAACTGGAACCTGTGTACATTTTTGGTGGCAATGTAAAATGGTATACCCACGGTGGAAACAGTCTTGAAGTGCCTCAAAAAAACAAAAAATTACCATTGACTGAGCAATTCCACTTCTGAGTATATACACAAAAGAAGTGAAAACAAAACCTCAAACAGGTATTTGTACACTCACATTCACAGCTGCGTTATTCACAATAGTCAAAAGATGTCTGAAACAACCCAAAAGTCCATGAACAGATGTATAAATAAAATATGGCATATACATATACACTACAAAGGATTAAAGCATTAAAAAAGAGTGAAATTCTGATACAAATGGTAACACAGATGAACCCTAGAAATATAATGCTAAGTGAAATAAACCAGTCACAAGCACAAATACCATATGATTCCATTTACATGAGAGGTCGAATTCACAGACAGGAAGTTTAAGAGTTATCAGGGGCTAAGGAAAAAAGGGGACAGGAAAGTTATTGTTAAATAGGCATAGAGTTTCAGTATGGAATGAAAGAATATTCTGGAGATGGACAGTGATGGTACTTAATGCCACTGAATTGTACACTTAAAATGGTTAAAAAGGTACTCTATAAAACTCTACTATACGTATTTTGCCACAAAAAACACCTTAAACAAAACACATTAAGCAAAACAAAACAGAAAGTTACTTTAGTAACAGGAGATTTGAAAGAAAGCAGGCATCAGAAATCAGGGATTAATTGGTAAGCAGCACTGTACTGATAATTTCTAAATAACCTTTTTAGTGCTATGTGAATAGATAACAAATATGAAAGATCTCTACGAGAAAATATGGTGATAAATAAATAGGGCAATAAAAAATACAAAATATTTAGGAAATAATGACTTCTGGGCAACCCAACTCAAGAAACAGTGAGAACTGTACTCCCTGCTAATTTAGCTCTTCATAACAAAATTTAGCTCTTCATAACAAAATCTTAGGAATCGGTTTTACTTTTAATCTACAATGTTTAGAAAACTTACAGGGCAGATTTTCCAGTGCGGGGATCGATATAGGTGGTTGTTCTTCTATTGTGGTCCACAAAATACGGAATTCCATCGACTGTGAATCTCATTTCCCAGCCTTCAGGCAAGGGCTTTTCATTTAATTGACTACAAAACATAGGAAAAAATACAAATAAAAAATGTTGAGCTGTTTGTTTCCCAAATACACAAAACAAAAATCACCCATAAATGCAGCATCATTTAGATCACTTAGTCCAGTGTTTCCCATTGTTTACTAGACCTCTCTATAGATATCCTACAAGCATGTTAAACATGTCAATAGATTCATGGAACCACCCTGTTTCCACCCACCTGGCCTGTAATCCCCTCTAATAACCCACCTAAACACCTTTTGGTAACCCAAGTTCTGCCCATTCTGCCTTGGAAGCCTTCATTTTCATCACTGTTTTCAATCCCCAAGAACATCCTTAACCTGGCATCATTCATCTCTCTTTTAAAATTTCATAATGGCCACCAAACTGGTTTTCTTGCCTCTAGTCTCACTCTGGTCCTACATTCATTTCATATTGCTGACAGAGTACTAAAACAGAGCTCTGATCATGATTAACTCTCTTCTTAAAGTGATATTCACTGTTCACACTACCAGTGAATGATAAGCCCTGAACTCTCAACATGGGGCACTCACTCTGCCCTCAGTGTTCCCTTTCAGGTTTAACCCCACACTCTAACTCCAACTCCCTTCCGTGAAGCCTGTTATTTCCAAGTGTAGTGCTACTCACCATTTCCCTTAACAAGACATGATCTGTTATACCTCCAAGTGAAGACTTTCCCCTTGTCCAGAAGATCTTAATTATTCCTCTACTAAAGCAACTCAACTGTTCTTTCTGAAGTATTTCTAACCAGTTCTTAATACCTATCTTTAGACTTTGGTTAATCTCTCTCAACTGCAGTTTGTTAAGAATGTATATATAGTAAGACTGTAAGAGGAATAAGTGAGACAATGTAAGTAAAAAGCTTCACACATAGTAACCCTCAAGTTGTAACTATTAGTATTCCCCCTACTATATACTGATCATTCTTCTTGAGTCTCTCAAAGTACTTCCTTCAGACTGCTAGCACAGCATTTGCCAAGTTTTTCAGCTTTTGTGTGTATGGCAACAACTTTCACCCTGCAAATACTATGTGAGCTTTTTTGTTTTGTTTTGTTTTCTGCTTCTTTTAAAGATTTTATTTGACAGAGAAAGACACAGAGAGGGAACACGAGTAGGGGGAGTGGGAGAGGAAAAAGTAGGCCTTCCACAGAGCAGGGAGCCCAATGTGGGGCTCGATACTAGGACCCTGGCATCACAATGCAAGCTGAAGGCAGCTACTTAATGACTTAGTCATGCAGGCACCCCACTACTTGAGTTTTAAAACAGGAACTAGATTATAAGGCAATAGTGCATTTTTATTTGTTATATATTAAAATAACTGGGGCATAAGCATAAATATTCAAAACTGCTTACTTGTGAACTTAAGATATTTTTGCATTTTAAAATATTCCACTAGAATGGGTAGAGAATTATTGAATACCTCCTTTGTAGTTTGTATTTGTGTGTTCTGTCATAATGGCAACTAGTCTTTTTAACTAGTTAGGTATAAGTGTTCCAAGTTTTTACCCATATTTGCTAGTTTGTTTTCCTCTATTCTATAGTTTCAGATTTTCTCACCTGGTAGGTTCAGTGAGAGAAGGGGAAAAAAAAATGGAAATGTCCAAGTTCATATCAGAAAGGAAGAAGGGGAGGGGTTGGGGGCATTTAAGCTGACTGGTTTTAGAGAGCCACTACTGTTGACAGGATTGTCATCTTCCTCAAATGTACTTCAGAGGAATAAAAGGCTAAGAACCACTGTTCAGAACAGTATTCTGTAAACTGTGTTGAAAGGTTAAGAACATTTAGCTTTATTCACAGAGCTGAACAGAAATGTCAGATAAAATAGATTACCAAAAATTTTTTAAAAGTTAACATTTATTTGTTATAATTTTATTTTCAAGATAAGCTCAGTAACAAACTGTTGTCTTGAAAACAAACAGGATAGAACTGGGTCATTTGTACTGTTTATTAAGATACGATTCTCACTTCAGCTCTGACATTTTAAAAGTCTAAGGGGGAACAAAAAATGATAGTAAATTACAGAAAGGTGACATAGTTCATTCTGTCCTTCAAGAGAGAATTTTACAGATCAATTTAAAATGTTACCTTTGAAATTCTTCTTCCTTTTAGGGAAACTGAATATATTTAAGTTAAATATTAACATAAAAAATGTGACGTTAGTATCCAGAAGCAGATTTTAAATCTAAACTGTATTATCAGAACAAAGGTTCTTAACTTTGAGTCAAGGGATGTGTGAAGAATTAATCATACCAAAAGAGAGGTGTGGCGTCTGCCCTCTGTTACTGGGAGGTGATCGCTAGGCCTCTGGAATGTCCTGCATGTCAGGAATACCTCTGTTTGCTTGGGAACTTTGAACACCAGACAGTCAACAAGTGATTTATGATGGAGGCTTTGGGACACCTCCCATCAACTACAACTTCTGGAGTAACTAGACACTGAAGATATTAGCTCAAACTCTGGGACAGGGCTAGAGACTAAAGGTTAGCAATGCAAGCAGTACATAATGGAGCCCCAATAAAAACTCTGGATGTAAGAGACTCAGGTCAGATTTGCTGGTTGCTAATCCTCCACACATATTACTCCATATCAATTTTGGGTATTTAGAACCTTCTCACATTCTGTCCTGTATTTCTTCCTTCTGCTGCTTGTAATTTGTATGCCTTCCCTATCATGAATGTAACTGTGAGTATAACAAGCTTCAAGTGAGTTCTAGTCTCTCAAGTGAGTTATCAAACCTGAAAGTGGTTGTGGGAACCCCTAAATCCATACCCAGTTGGCCTGAAGTGAGAGCAATTTTGGGGGATCTCCCAGTTTGTGGCTGATGTCTGAAGTGAGGGAATTCTTGGGGAGACTGCTCTCCAACTTTACAGCTTGCCAAATTCCTTGCAGAATGGAACCCTCTGGTGGTCTGATAAATGCACAGTATTAGATTTTATTATGGGCTGAATTGTGTTCATCCACAGATTCCTATATACTAACCATCAGGAGCTCAGAATGTGACCTTATTTGGAAATAGAGTCATTGCAGACATTATCAGTTAAGATGAGATCATACTGGAATACAATGAGCCATTAATCCAATAGGGCTGGAGTCCTTATAAAAAGGGGAAATTTGGACACTTGACACTTGCAGACCTGAAGAATGCTATGCGACGACTGCAGTTATGTTGCCACAAACCAAACTACCAGAAGCCGCAGTGGAGCGTGGTGGGGATGGGGTGGCTGGGTGATGGACACCGGGGAGGGTACGAGTTGTGGGGAGTGCTGTGTACTCACTATAGGTCTGTGATACAGACCTATACCCCTGAAACAAATAACACATTATATGTTAATTAAAAAAAAAAGAATTTCCTTTCTCTTTAGGGCTGGATAATATTCCACTGTATGTATACATCACATTTTGTTTATCCATCCATCTGCTGATGGACACATAAGTTGCTTCTACCTTTTGGCTACTGTCAATAACACGATTTATGAATGTAAGTATACAAGGATGTGTTTGAGTCCTTGCTTTCACTTCTTTTGGGTATACCTAGGAGAACTGCTGGATACATTAATTTATGTTTAGCTTTTTGAGGAGCCATCAAATTCTTTTCCACAGTTGTGCACTGTTTTACATTCCCACCAGCAATGCAGGAGAGTTCCCCAATTTCTCTATATCCTCAATAAGGATCATTGTTTCTGTTCCATGATAGTAATGGATATAAGCTAAGGCATGGAACAAATCCTTTTAGTGCCTTCCAAGGGAGCAAAGCCCTGCCTATACCTTGATTCTAGACGTCTAATCTCCTGAATCTCTTGAACTATGAGACAAATTTCTATTGTTTAAGCCACTCAATTTGTGGCTTTGTTAAGGCAGTTCTAACAAACTAATACAAGTACTATTACATAATGCTACAAAGAAAAGCAAGTAGGGGCGCCTGGGCGGCTCAGCTGGTTAGCGTCTGCCTCTGGCTCAGGTTGTGATCCTGGGGTCCTGGGATCGAGCCCCACATTGGGCTGACTGCTCAGTGGGGAGCCTGCTTCTCCCTTTCCCTCTGCCGCTCCCCTTGCTTCTGCTCCCTCACTCGGAATGAAGGAAGGAAGGATGGGCAAATATATACACAGTTACCAAACATTAAAAAGACAAACTTGTCTTTGAGATACAAACTTCCAGTTATGAAATAAATGTCACAAGGATGTAAAGTACAACAAAGGGAATACAGCCAGTAATACTGTAATAACTTTGGTGACAGAGGGTAATTAGATTTATTAGGTGATAATTTCATAATGTATATAAATGTCAAATCACCATATTGTATACCTGAAACTAATATAATACCTTATGTTAATTATACTTAAATGAAAAGGAAAACTTGTAATAATAGTATGTGTCTCTTTGTCAATATATTAACTAGCAAGTTCTTGCAATATGTGTAAAGTATATTTTGAGATAATTGCAACAACTGCAAAATGCTATTTTAAAAAACACGTATGATTTCTTCTGGTAGGAAGAGTCCAAGGTACTACTAATTCCACTATGGCTGTAGCTTACGATCAGAATGGATGGAAACACTCAATTTCAGGTAAAAGTTAATATAACTGAATCTGCGTTTATTCCCCCTTAAGTCACGTATTCCCTGAATTTTCTCTAGTGATCTCAGGTTGCAAAACCCTGCGTTAGAGCTATTAATCTGGACTTACTAATAATAAATAGGAATTTTAAAATACATAGTATATTTGTATGAACCAATGACTTTTTTCCTCTACTCTCAGGAAACCCACATCTTTTATATACAATAATAACAGTGTAATTTTTTCTCTTTCTAAAGTATATGGGTGAGTAATGTTTAAGGACTTTGGGGGAAGAACTTGTAACTTGATTTTTTCCATAACTGAGTCAGAAATAGGGTACAATCTTCACGAGATTATCTATATACTAGTAACTGAAAGTTTCTTACCCTTGACTTCTGGGATCTTCCCACTGTGTGATACGAGTGTTGTGGTTGACAAAATATACTCTACCATTGCTGTCTGTTCTCTTCTCTTAAAGAAAGAAAAAAAAAAAAAAAAAGGCAAAGCATTAGGGTTGGCATTGTCTTCTTCCACAAACTAAAATAAAATGTGCTGAATTTGCCCATTTCTCATTGCACTGATTTTTATAGCTTCCAAATCACAACTTTAAGAGGTGTGAGTTATTCTTTCACTTTTAAGTTCATATACCTGCTAGAGCTATTAAAATATCATTACATTTTAGAAGCTAAACAGACTTAATTCACAATGTCCTGCCTACAAGACCTTTTTGTTCAATCTAACCAAAGGCAGCAAGAATAATTAACATTTTAACTTTTCATACATGACCTCATTTTATCCTTAATATTAGTCCCAGGCCTAGACAGTTTCATTTCATCTTCATGATAGGGAAACTTGGACAGGTTAAGTGATCTGCCCAAAATCTCAGAATTGAGTAATAATGACAGGATGGAAAGTCAGGTCTCTTTAAGCCATTTTTTGCATACCACATCACCTCCTTTCTTAAAATACAATGGAGGGGAGGGATATAACTTGTTTCTTTGCTATATGCTAGGCATTATTCAACTAGAAGACACTGTTTCAAAATATATCCTCTTCCCTAACTCAGTTCCCAAATCCTAAATATCTAAAGTAACCTTCTATACAAAGGCTGGGCAAAGGGCTCAGTTCTTTAGTTTACTGCCTTTGAAACCGCAGCTTCTTTCCTCCATCTACCTCTTGCTTTAGGATTCTCCTTGTTTTCTTATTCCCATTCTACACAATTTCCCCTGAATTCTTGAGCTTTCTCAGTAAGGTTTAGGAGACATGTAAATATCATTTTCTCTTTTAATAAAAGAAGAGTCAGTCCTTGAAATTTTAATATTAAGTTTGTTGTTTTAAACCACTGAATTCTCTATTCCATTACCAATTCTTCTTCAAAAGATAATTTCTATACCTGAATTTTTTTAGATGTTTCAAAATGAGGTAAGTGAAGTAACGAAGAATATAGAATGGATTCCAATATTTTAAAAAGGATAGTTTCTAAAAATTAGCGATTTCAAATAAAACTTTAAGGTTAATTCCAAGCTGATCAAGTTTGTTTTTTTTTTTTAAATCTCTTATGGTTTGAAAAGTTGGTAGCTATTTTTCAAAAAACATTTATTTAGATCCTTTGTATCTTTCTCTGAGCAAGCTACTGCAGGACAAGTCTTGAGCCAAATTATATAGCTATGTCAAGTTAGTATTTGGTAACTTTCAACTGTTATCTCCAGCACTAATTCCATTATTTCGAGTATAGTGGTAATATGGGAGGTTAGAATGGATATACTGGTGAGTATCCTGAACCCCATCCTAACATCTCAGCTACTTAGATCACTTGAGCCATAATGGAAAGAGAACCCCAAGTATGTGTTACATACAGATAAATGGGATTCTGCATCTTGTGACATATTGTGAATATTAACACTGGCTTCACTGGTCATGGCATCTTGAGTGTGAAAAGTAAAACCAACTTTAAGTCTGTCTCTGAGGTAAAAAGAAGCATCCACAGTGCTACAGCTACATAATAATGTTAGTTAATATTCTTGGCAGTCACATTAAATTAAAAATTTTAAAATATATTTGCAGAATCTGGAATTTTTTTCTATCCAAGTAATTTTTAAAGTAACTTTTATAATCTAAAAATAATACCAAGTGCATATCTGCCACGTAAGTTCAGACTTCAGGGCCAGAGATTTTCTCTTCAAAAGTTAACATGAAGCCGGATAAATTCAATAGAAAACTTCTTTTCTATGTATGTTCTAAGTATATACTGCTGATACCAACATTTCCTGAAAGAAGCTGTGAGAAACAAAATTTCAAAAGGTGGGCGCACTTGCAAACTGAAGGCTCATCTGCTTTTAATGAGAGGAAGTACTGTGACTACAGAGCTGATTTTTATTGAAAAAAGTCACATGATAAACAATACTGAGATTACTGAAGAGCAAAGGGAATGCAGATCAGAGCTCTTCCTGACTTGATGAATAAAACAGTAAAAACCAGAAGCTTCTTGCTGTTCTATGTATTCTTTCACAGCAACTCTCAAAAGGAGAAAATATTTTTATACTTGATGGGTAAAACCAGGTATACAAAGCCCTATTAGACTACACTGTTGAACCAAAAACACTCTTTGTTCTCCAGCCTCTTTAGTTTGCATGTATTAAAAATTCTTCACTGTCAGCTTGTGAGGTGGTAATGTCTAGTCCTAGCATATAAAGCTTGAAAGGATGAGGCATCTGGGTGGCTAGGTCGGTTAAGTATCTGAGTCTTGTCTCAGCTCAGGTCTTGATCTCAGGGTTGTGAGTTCAAGCCCCACCTGGAGCCTTCTCATTGATTCATTCATAAATAAATAACATATTGTGTCACAAAAATAATGCTATTTCAGAATGTAAAAACACGCTATGAATTGGGGTTTTATTTCCTGGGTAAATCCTGAAGATATGTCAGGTAGGGTTTTGTCTGTAACAGTACCAGTGTTGTCACTGGTTCCACAAATAAGGCATGTGCCCCGAAGGCAGAGAGTCATAAAGCAGTGCTTAGTCTAAGTAATAGGGTAATCATGAACTCATCTAGGAAGGGGGGAACATTTCAACTTCAGAAGTGTGAAACCTAAAAATAAGCAGAATGTAAAATAAGGAAAGAGTCTCATAACATGGGTAAGCTGGGATTGGGTCTTTAGAGGCAGTATTTCAGGGAAGAGTTGTTGGCTAGTTAGGAAAAAAGAGAAAGATCCTAACAGTAATAAATTATTATTTATAATAATAAATAAATATTAATTATAATTACTTAATAAATATATTTATTTATAATTTATATTTATATATGTAAATAATAATAAATACAGAAAGCACCGGAGCTTGCAGGAATTTTTTTTTTAATTAAAAAAAATTTTTTTTAAAGATTTTATTTGAGATAGAGTGAAAGAGAGACTGCACAAGCAGGGCAGAGGGGCAGGGGGAATGGGAGAAGCAGACTCCCCACTGAGCAGGGAGCCTGATGCAGGACTCGATCCAAAGACCCTGGAATCATGACCTTGGCTGAAGGCAGACGCTTGATGACTGAGTTATCCAAGCACCCGGAAAAGCCTCTTTGCATAAAGGCAACACAGCCTACAATTCATGCTTCTAATGAGCAAGCGCTAATTTTTTCCTATAACTGGTCTGGAGAAGGTCCATGTTTCTGACAAAAGCTAACTGGTCACTCACTGGTCATTAAGAGGATAATACGTGACCTTCAGATACATCCTTTAATTGCATTAATTTCTCCTCTATAATACAGACATACAACAATTCTAGAAATAAAGCTGGGAAAACCATCCATGTGTAGTAAAAGCAATCTGACAGGCCTGGTTCAATATGCTTTATATAAAGGCAACATTCCCTTTTCTAAAGTTACTTCATACCAACCATGCATTCTCCACTCTGACTCTAACACAAAGACTCTTTATCACATTACCAAGCTTTGGTGAAGACAGAAATTCACAGTTCACTTTCAAATGCCCTCCCTTTATTACATGCTGATAACAATAACAATTTTAAGTATTACTTATCATGTTTTTTACCTCTTTGTCTCACAGAGTGTTAAGGATAAATAACCAAAGGGCAATGGAACTTCTCAAAGGCAAACTTTATGTCCAGTATCATCTACTGCCCAGATTCATGTGACCTTGACACATCCATTTTTCTCCATTCCTCAATAAAGTAATGCTAGAGCAATCTATCTTGGTACCAATGCCTCCCAGACTATCTAGAAACATCATTTTCTGATTTTACCCCCAAGTTATGAAATATCTGCGCTCTTGAAGACAAAACTTCAACTAGTTCCATGGCTGGCTTTACTTAGCTGTTTCCTTCCTTCTTTCTTTTTTTTTTTTTTTTTTTTAAGATTTTTATTTATTTGACAGAGAGAGAGAGAGAAATCACAAGTAGGCAGAGAGGCAGGTAGAGAGAGAGGGGGAAGCAGGCTCCCCGTCGAGCAGAGAGCCTGATGCGGGGCTCGATCCTAGGACTCTGAGGTCATGAACCGAGCCGAAGGCAGAGGTTCAAACCCACTGAGCCACTCAGGTACCCCACGTTTCTTTCTTTCTATACTCTCTTTGACATCCATGCAAAACTTCTATATTGCTGTTTATTCTGAAAACTTGCTACTGTGCTAGGATTCACATATTACCATAAAACAAAAATCTGGTAGGGTACGTAAAATCTATTTATAGAATTTTAATACTAAGATAAATGTACATACCCAAGCAAAACATACCCAAGCACAAAGTCCCACCCTAACATGTTCCCCTTCCACTATTCTTTCAAAATTACATCAACTCAACCAAACTATGAACAGTGTTTTAGAAGCAAAAATGTGGTAAAAATATATAAGCTTTTTATTTTGAAATAATTACAGGATGTTCCAAAATTATTCTAAGAATCTCATGTACCCTTCACCAGTTTCCCCCAATGGTAATATCTTTTATAGCCATAGTATAGTAACTGAAATCAGGAAAGTGAAACTGGTACATTACTGTTAACTACAGACTTTATTTAATTTTCACCAAATTTTAAGCTAAATTCATTAATGTGAATGTATAATCTATGCACTTTTATCCCATATGTATAGATTTGTGTAATCACTACCATGGCAAAGACACAGAACTACTTCACCACCACACAAGAACTACTTATATTATCTCCTGTATTTGCACCCACCTGCCACTGGCTCTGTCTCCTAGCAACTAATCTGTTTTCCATTTCTCTAATTTTGTCATTTTGACTATATTACATAAACTGAATCATATGGTATATAATCTTTTAAGATGGACTTTTTTTCACTATACATAATCCCCTTGAGGTCCATTCAGAACATTCTGTGTATTAACCATCCATTTCTTTTTATTGCTAAATGCCCAAAGTATTTTTAAACTTTAAAAGAGTAAAATAACTTTGAATTCCAAAAAAAATTAATTGTAATAAGACAATCAACTTAGAACTTCTGGGAAATTAATACCTGTTTGGCTCTCTGAATTGAACTGACACATGCCAAAAACTTCCCAGATATTCACTTAAGCAAGAGCAGGCTATCATCCATAAATACCTGATTTTTAAAATGACAAATGCAATGAAAAAAATCACGGGACTTACCCCATCCAGGTGGCAGGGGACCAAGGGGATCAAATTCTTTATTTTGTGATGTAGTAAACAAATCTTGATTCTAAAAAGAATAACAACAACATCAAGAAAAAGGTGAAATAATGAACAACCTAATTAGAACCTTGAAAGCAAGGGTTATGAGCTCTGGTGGTCACCAGTCTTCCCTGGTCATGTGCAATGTAACACACTTTTACAGAGTTCACGTCTTAGAGATAGGTCACACAGTTAATGGATATATGCCAATACGCTCTGGAGGGAAAAAAAAAATCTTTGTAAACATTAATGCTTGAAATTATGAGAAATTCAAATATTACAAATATGTAATCCTTACCCTCAAAAGATCATTTTCTTCTTCAGCCACAACTCAGTAAATTAGAGAAATACATAAATCCCCAAAGAGTCATTTATAAACCACAGTACTCAGGGTCACCAGATGGCTGAGACTAACCTTGTATTTCTAACTCAAAAAGAAGCAGCATATACAAAACATGGGGTATATACAAATATTGTGGAAAGAACTGCGGGAGTAGGAAGAGGAAGCTATCAGATGAGGGAAAGATGAGGGAATTTCAGTTGTAAAGAGTTGATAAATACAGATCTGTAAAGAAGATTTCTTAAACTTCTGTTTCTAATGACCACACTGGTAGAGACAGAAGTCTGGTTAGAAAAAAGGAAACCATTTTCAACCATTAAAATAAGAGAAGCAAAGGTCATAGTGACCATGTAGGGTTAATGGATATGTTTTGGTTTAAATGTATAATAAAGTAGAAATAACATGTGGTCTCTCAGAAAGATTTGGTTAAACCCTTTCCCCTTTAGTAAGATAAAATGAGTAAATAATAGATTCTAACTGCTTTTTTTTTTTTTTTTAAGTTTTTATCTATTTATTTGAGAGAGAAAAAGAGAGAGAAAGCATGAGACGGGTTAGGGTCAGAGGGAGAAGCAGACTCCCCACCAAGCAGGAAGCCTGATGTGGGACTCCATCCCAGGACTCTATGATTATGACCTGAGCCAAAGGCAATTGCTTAACCAACTGAGCCACCCAGGCGCCCCATTTTCTAACTGTTTTTTAAAGAAAAATTATTAATGGAAAAAATATACAAAAAAAATAAGGAAAGTAAACCCTATATACCCAGCACCAAGACTCAACAAGTATTAAGACTTTGCAAAAAAAAAAAATTTTTTTTCCCCTCTTCTTTGCTGAATCATTTAGTCATTTCACCCCTATATATTTTAGCATGTCTTTCTAAAATTTGTGGACATCTTCTTCTATAACCACAACATTGTTAATCACACCTAGCAAAGAATCTATGTTAATTTAATCATCTAATATCTGGTCACTAATTAAATGCCTATGATTGTTCATTCAAGGTGAAATTCAAAGTCCTCACATTACACTTGGTTGAGTCTCAAGTCTCAATCTATAGCAGTTCCCCCTATTGTCTCTGGGTTTTTTTCCCCATGTCACTGACTTATTACAGAAACTGGGTAACTGATTGAAAGTTTTAAAGGATATGACATTCTATCTCTGATTAAACAACTCTTGGAAGACAGACCTATCAAGAATTGGCCTTGCTCCTCCTGACAGACACAATTATGAAAAGCACTGAGAGCAGAGAGACCAGGGATAAACACTTATAAAAAGGTTTAAATACTGGTTATGGAACAGGTCTGAAAAGTCTGGCATATAACAAACTATTGCAGTAATTTTCTAAGGCCCAAGCCTAAGATCCAAGGCTCTTCCCTGGTTAAGTAAATTGGGGACATATACACTGAAGCCATTGGCCAGGAAGAGCAATTACAGTGTTCCAACATCAACCATTTCCATTCTGAGGCTAAAAATGCTAGGTGTAGAGATGTTTGGCTGGCTCAGTCAGTAGAGCATGTGACTCTGGATTTTGGGATTGTGAGTTCAAGCCCCACGTTGGGTGTGGAGCCCACTTAAGGAAAAAAAAAAAAAGCTAGGTGTATGAGAGTCTACTGACCTATAACCAGGGAAACAAAGACTACTTTATAAAACAGACTTTCTTAGCAATATGCCACCACCCCACCACTTTTTAAGCAGCTGATAGTAAGAATGCTTAATTCATTAATTCAGTTAATACTGCCATCTATGTTAAAGGTAACTAAAATAGGCTGTTTAAATTATGATTTAAAACACATTCTATAACAAGAACAAAGTGGAAGAATTTTAAAAAGTGGTCAGATTATTTTTGGATAAGAGTAAAAAAACAAAACAACAAAACAACAACAAAAAACCATGGACAATGAGGTAAAAAGCTGCAATTCAAGGGAGGTTCCAAAGACTCTGAGTATCAAATTGGTGAAGTTTACAATGAAGCAATATATACTGTTGGTGCCCTGGAAATATATGCTAAACCGGTGTTTCAAAACAATGTTTTAAAGATGATGTACTGTAAAAGTAAGATAAAGAGCACATTTACAATGTGGATATGAGGGAATGAAAACTAACATTTCTATCCATTATGTGCCAAACATATTAGGAACTTTATTTTATAGAATCCTCAAAAAAATTCCTCTCAGGAAATTTTGTAACAGATAAAGTAAATGAGCCCTGATGAGGTTAAGCGACTTTCTCAAAGTCATATAGAGAAAGTAACTGTGTTATTAGGACTCAAGCCCAGAAGTGTCTGACTCCAAAGCCCATGTTCTTTCCACTGAACACCTATGTGGAAAATAGCTTTAAAGAAGCAGGCAAACTAGGCATTCAACCCTAGAAGAAATCTGGCCAGGTATATCAAAGCTATTATAATTTAGAAAGAAGGGAAGATGTAAAACAGCATAGGAAAAAAAAAAAATGGGTAGGGTCAGGTAGGCAAGAGACAAATTAATTTCACTTCTAAAACCACTGGGAAGAAATATAATGACTGCTGCCTATAGAAAGTGGCAGGAAAAACCGTTATATGAAAGAATCTTAGTCATAAACTAGGTAGTGAAGGGAAGGCTGGTGATAAAGAAGAATTTGTTTAAATCAGTGGATGAAAGTGTTATGGCGATTAGATCCAAGAAATAGATAAAAATACGGAGAAAAGAGAGGAAATAATGCTCAGAGGACAGAAACTTAATCTGATGTATTCTAACAGGGATGATACCAATGGTGGTGGAGGGGAAGAGATGAAAATGGAGGTCAGCTTCTCCTGAACTCTTGAAGACCTTATTTTCTTTGGTTTTAAGTTCTACGTAATACTCAAACAAATCCCTTTTGTTTGGCCCACAGAATCCTATTTCTCCAAGGACTATTTTCCTCTCCTCAGAGAAAGGATCTGTAATACTTTATGATTTGAGAGACTATAAAATTCCTAGCACCAAAGACTGCATTAAAAAAACATTAATATATTTTGGTGAACTTACAGCTATTTTTGCAATATTACTCTGAAGAAAAATATGTACAACCTTAAACCATTTCCAAAAGGAAATATTTGCATACCAAAGATAATATAGTTTTGAAGCCAGAATACATAGTTAGCATAATCATATAAGGAATTAAATTTCCTTAGTCTCCCAGAGCACTAATTAATTAGGTAAACTGTGCTTTCATGTTACAAAGTGATTCAATTCTGTCACTAGTTCTATATAACCACTTAATAGTCAGGTGCTCTTAGAGCCAAACCTTCAAATATTCTGCCAAGCTAGGGAGTATTAAATTCAGAACTGTCTTAATTCTCTTCAAACCACTTGGGTTTATTTTTATTATCCTTTTGTCCATGGATTTTAAGTTGTCTTAACTTCCTTTTTTATTTTTGACATTAACAAAGCAAAGGAGGTTGAACTTTAGAAGTTTTCAAAGAGTTAAGAATAGATCACATGCACAGAATACTCAAGACAAGATATAAACATAGTATCTATCAACAGCAACAACTGGGTGCACTCTTGTCTTTTAGTACTTAACATTTCATATGCAAAAAAAAAAGGTTAAAAACAAATACTTATTAAGTTTATAGTATAATAGGCTGCTTACCCCATAAATAAATCTCTGGTTAAACTGCTGCATTGCTCCTTGCAGCTGACTACGTTGGAGCTGCCACTGTTCATAGTTCCGGACGGATTCCAATGTTGGCCTCTGCCACGTTGTTGTTCTTGTGAAATGGTCAACATAGTAAATTCGTCCCATGTTGTCAACCCGACGTTCCCAGCTAAATCAGGACAAAACCAACCTAATTCAATAATTACTTGTGATACAGATATGAATTGAACAGGACTTTATCTTGGCCCTGGTGCAGGTTTGGTAAGATTTTACCTTAAATTACTTTTGATTTACCTGAACTCTTTCTATTTTATATGTTTTTAAATGGTCGTTAAGTGAACACAAAAGAAATGCTTTTAAAAATTTCTTTTCTTAAAAGTTAAGATGTATCAAGTTTTAAAAATACAATGCATATTTAGTGGGTAAGTCTCAAAGAGTAATTAAGAAAAAAGTTCTCCCACTTTCTTTCCAATGTTCTTTTGACTGTTGAAATCTTAATAGGAAGGGAAAGAATTGTACATACAGCTTTTCACAGATATCAAAAAGCACTTTTCCCAAAAAATTACAACTGATCATGGGTGCATGGTATTTTTAAAAAAAATTTATTTATTTTAGAGAGAGGGAAAGTATGCAGGGGGTAGGGAAGAGGGAGAGAGACAATCTCAAGCAGACTCCCCACTGACACGCCTGACATGGGGCTTGATCTTACAACCCTGAGATCATGACCTGAGCCTAAATCTAAAGTTGGCTACTTAACTGAGCCACCCAGGTGCCCCTCAAATGGGTTCATAATATTAAGTAAACATTAAAACAATAACTTGTTGATTTCTACTTTGTTGTTTGTGGTTATTTCCAATATTCTCTATTATAAATAGTAAAATAATAAATACCTTTAATACATCAATTTTTTTCTCCCTTTGCATTACTTCTTTAGGATAAATTTCCTAGACAGAATTACTAAGGGTATGTGCATTACTATAGTTATATATACTTTCTGTAAGAATTGCAACTAATTTATACCACCACTAGCAATATTATGTGACAAAGTTCCTCTACAAACTCACCAACACTGGATACTATCTGCTAAATAGTAAGTAAAACAGTACCTTTTAAGTATATATTTGAGATTACAGCAAGAGTAAATATTTCCCCATGTTTGCTACTGACTTGCCCTGAATAAAAATATTTTCTTCCATTTTCTATAATGTAAATGTTAAATGCTTAATATCATGCATTAATATAGACTTTAATTCCCCAACTATTCTGCAAATGACTTCAATATTATATATATATATATAATAGGGACTTTATCTTCATATATATGATGGGGCTATAACAATTCTTATTCAGTTACATTAAAATTAATGAGTTAAATTAATTTATTAAAATCAATTAGAATTAATCTAAATCTAAAACTAATTAAAATTAATCCATTAAATTAAAATAATTACTCTTGAAGAAACTAATTCTAAAACCCTATGGTTTGAGCCAGGTAAAATACAGAAAGGAAAACATGGAAATGGCAAGACCTATGGAATCTTTAGGTCAGAAATGAATAAAAATAAATCATTCATCATGTTCAATCAATTCTCTCTCCTTTCTCGTTTGCACCTACCACAACACAAAGTGAATGCTTTGTGGAAGCTTTGGAAAAGACTGAAAGGAAAAGGAAAAGTAGGAATATAGGGAAGATTCTGTACAGATTAATCTATAGTTCTGAATAAATAACTTTTCTTCTTCTTTAATTCAGATACTTACCCAGGAGGTAGAGGTTCTGGTCTATCCCATGTTGTTCTTTTTTCAATATGATCTACATAGTAAACTCGCCCATGCTGGTCCACTCTCTGCTCCCAACTTAAACAGAAAATTTAAAAAACTGATAAAGCACTTATCTTTGCTATCTTCTCTTATATGACCATATTACAGAATTAAGGCAAATAAGCATGTTAATATCTAAAGAAGGTATCAAAAGAAGTTAGGAATAAAGTAAAAAAATGTTATCCTGAGGATGAGAGTGGATAAGACTTCTTCAGCAGTATCTGCTCAAGAGGTGCCTTATATTTCTGAAGAGATTTGAGGTACATGCACTCAGGAGACAAAGTCTAGCTCAATCTGATCATGGCATATGCAAAACTTGGTGGGGAAAAAAAATGCTGTAATTAATGTTTTGAAATCTGAAGAAAGACTGAGCTAACCGAAAGGCAAAACACTATGTGTGTTATAGAAGAACTGAAATCAGACTAAGATTTTGTCAGATGTGTCTATGCACAGTCTAACAGACAAAATCAGTCTGGTTATTCTAGTCTCCTTGATGGGTTAATTCCCAAAGAGAAGAAGACAGAAATGAACTATCACAATTTAGAAGTACCAATCACTTTGGAAAGCACAAGTTTCTATTTGCTAATCCCTTGCACAAATAATTTTCTATTTTGGTTTCCCATGTAGGTTTCACAAAAGGAAAATGGCCCAACTACCCACAAATAATATCTGTTTAGCAACCAAAAGTTTCACCATGAGGGTTTAATTTATTAAGCCATTAATTTTAATTAGATTCCAAGCTCTGGATTAACAATGCCACAATGTATATATGTACATAAAATATTAGAGTATTAATTTTTAAAATAATTAGTAGAGATTAAAATGGGATCATGAATACTAAATTTCTCAGTTTCTTAAATTATTATTACTTTGCTATAATGACTCCATGATGGAAAAATTTTATTTTAAAAAGTGATTTTTTTCCCTCCTTCAAAGAGAAAGTAATCCGAATTAGGTGTCTATTTTATTACATCGCATTGGTTAACTTTCTATGGTCCAGAGTCCTTCAATTTAAAAAACACAAAACAAACAACAAAAAACCTTTGCCCCGGAAATGAGAAGGTGTGGATTTCTAATGTGGTGAGTTTTTTTGGTTCAGTTTGACTCTAGACACAGCATACCCAAAAATCAATCACCACTGCTTTAGGATGTTTTTTTTAAAGAATGAAGTTCAGTGTTATTGTCCTTATTAGTAAGAACATGCAGAAGCCTAAAGCAAACAGAGTAACCAAAAACAGTTACTTACCCAGGTGGTAGGGGAGCCTGAGGTACAGGATTTAATGGCCGAGGGCCTGAGCCTCCAGATATAGTCAGAGGAATTATTAATCCAGATGTTGCTCCTTCAGATGTATTTGAATTTATATTTGTTGGTGGCAGAGAGCCTGTACTGGATCCATCACTTTCAGAAGTGGCAGATGGGGAACCATTGACAGATGCTATAAAAGATTTGTGGAAAACAACAATCTTTATTTTCAGAATTCCAAATTCAGGATAGAATTTTAACTTTTTAAAAAATAAAAAGGTAGGGGCACCTGGGTGGCTCAGTGGGTTAAAGCCTCTGCCTTCAGCTCAGGTCATGGTCTCAGGGTCCTGGGATCGAGCCCCACATCAGGCTCTCTGCTAGGCAGGGAGCCTGCATACCCTCTCTCTGCCTGCCTCTCTGCCTACTTGTGATCTGTCTGTCAAATAAATAAATCTTTAAAAAAAATAAAAATAAAAATAGAAAGTAAAAAGGTAGATAAATGACAAATAGAAAATTTAAGATATGGATATGCAGGTAAAAATTACTTAAATAAACTTTTTAAATAACCTTTTAGGTTCTATCTATCCAATGGCTTTTTATTAATTATGAACCACATACAAATTCTGATTTTATGATACCATAAGAAATAAAAGCTACTTAAAAAAATAAAAAGGAAAGCCTGATACCCTTTGGTACTTTAAGTTCATTTTGTAATTTTTCATATTTTTAAAACCCTGCAGATCAAAGACCAATTTTTTGATGTTAAAGAAGATCTGTTAAGCTATTGCATTATTACAAATTGTTATAAAGTACGTATTACGTCTTCAAGAGAGACTTGACATAACAATTCCTCAGGGAAGTCACCAATATTTTGACCAAGTAGCATATGATCGTAAAGGCTAGGAATATATTATTAATACATTTTTCTACCAAAAAAGGGGGAAGATGTATAGTTAAAAACAAAGTTTTTTACTAAAATGATTTGTAGATAACTAGTTTACTTTTCCAATAATATTTGGTTTAATTATTTTATATTGTCTGTCTACATACAGAAGGAAATATTAAAGATTAAAGATTCTATTCTGAGTAACTGGAAAAAATGGGTATTCTACCGATAGATGTTTACATTTTTACTACATGAAATATGTTCATTTATTGTATAATTTTTGCTTCAAAATGTGAGTATCATTTAGCATTATTGGGTTACTTGCCATTTCTGTCTTTTAAAAGATAGAATGAAAATAAGCAAGCAGATCCTTGACAATATGATATGCTTATGTCCACACTATTACAAACCCTGCCAAAAAGTTGCAATCTTTTCTATACTGTCTATACTTTTAATAATGCAAATATGATTCTCATTTTTCTTTTTCATTCTCAATAGAGCATTTCCCTCAAGAACTTCACCCTGGAGGAAAAACTTAGGGAAAAGGCACATATTAGTCTACCTATAGAAAGATCATTCTTGGCCAAAACTTAAATGTAAAAATACAGCTAGAAAACTGACCTAAAAGGGTCTCTTGACACTTACCTGAGGTCAATTCCCAAACAGAACATTATTTACAATCACAGTATTGACAGCTACATCCCTAGTGCTGGAATACGTACCTGGTCTACGTGGGGTAGGTGGAGGTGGTCGTGAAGGTCTTGGAGGCCTAGAAGGTTTAAAACCACCATTTGAGAGTGATGGAGAATTATTCCCATTGACCTTCCTATTTTCACCAGCCCCTGCATCCTCAGGCTCATCTGATCCATTTGTGTTTGTTCTGAGTAAGAAAAGGCGAAAGGGAAGGGAAAACGAATGCTCTTTGAATTTAACAAAAATAAGAAGACCAGAACTTAAAATTTCTGGCCAGCTTTATCAAATACATAAATAGCCCTTGGGCAGAGTCTTATATACAACCCTCAGAGCCCACCCAGATAGAGTGAGGGGTTGCCAAAGCACACAGAAACACTTGTGAGTCTTCAAAACTATTAGGTAAGGTGATTCCGATTTCAAGAAAGTCTTTGGAGGCCTTGTATAAGCTAGAACAGAGTCAAATTCTCAAAATCCAAATGTCTTAGGAAGGGCATTATTTTATTAGGACCACAGCTAATATCACCATCCTTTTCCTGGTTTCTACTGGCTCTTAACAGTATTCAGTTTTGGGATAGGGCTGACTGTTCTTTGGCAGAAGAAATACTTTTATCCCAAAGACAAGATGCTTTCTCTCCATCCCAGTAAATGATATATAAAATGTTGAAAATTATTGTTCTGGGGTGCCTGGGTGGCTCACTGTGTTAAGCCTCTGCCTTCGGGTCAGGTCATGATCTCAGCGTTCTGGGACTGAGCCCCGGCATCAGGCTCTCTGCTCAGTGGGGAGCCTGGTTCCCCCTCTTTCTCAGCCTGCCTCTCTGTCTACTTGTGATCTCCCTCTCTCTGTCAAATAAATAAATAAAATCTTAAAAAAAAAAAAAGGAAATTTAGTGTTCTAGAGCAGAGGTACCCACAGACTTTTTTTTTTTTTTTTTAAAGGAGGTTATCATTTCTTCAAACCAATGACATTAATTGAGGGAAAGAGAAGAAAGGGGAAAACAACAGGAAATGTCAAATTGAAAGTCACTACTATGGTCAGCTAAATATAGTTGGTTCCTTTTCCCAGGGGGATCTTGTCATGAATTAGAAAGCAAAGAGTGAATGTAGCCAGTTTGAAGATGCCTCAGTTAAGACTGCTATCTACTACTTGGTAAGTAGTGAACTACTACACAGTATTAATTCAATACTCTACTGGACCTTCAAAATAAGACTGAACAAAGTAAAATCTACTTAATTCAAGAAATCAAAATTGAGAGGCAGCACCAAAAATTAAATCATTTTTAAACTATGTTGCCTTAAAGTTCTTTAGGGCCTTTCTACTTAAAGTAGTCTTTGGAACAGAAGCAAGGGTAACACGTAAGAGCTTATTAGAAATGCACAATCTTGGGGCACCTGAGTGGCTCATTTGCTTGGTTTTGGCATAGTTTATGATCTTGGGGTTGTGGGATAGGAACTGAGCCCTGCATCAGGCTCCAAGTCAGCCTGTCCCTCCCCTCTTCCTCTGCCCTTCCCCTCACTTGGATGCATGCTCTATAACAGATAAAATCTTAAAAAAGAAAAAAAAGGAGAGAAATGTACCATCTTGCACTCCACTCCCAGCACCCACTGTATCAGAACTGGATTTTAGTTAAGATCCTCAGGTGATCTGGGTGAATAGTAGGATATAACAAGACTGCGTTGGGGGTGCCTCAAATGCTTACTTTGGATAGAAGAACAGTTCAGTAATTGGCAGTCAGCACCTGGGTACTGCTGACTGCCTACATGAAGGCCAAGCCACCCCAAAATATGAACTGAAGGCAAGAAGAGTCAGCTTTGACACTGCTACACCTCCCCTAGGTGCCAAGTTCCAAACCCATTTTGAGTAGTATACCTCTTTAAGACTCTAAGTATTGCCTCCCATACTATTTCAAGAGATTACTAATTAGTTCTTAATGTTTTTAAGAACCAATATTTTTTAAAAGACAACAAATGATAGAATGAACCAAAACTATGAAACTGAGGTTTCTAGCTCTGACTCTGCTGTTAAGATTTTTTGTTTGTTTTATTCATTTCAGAGAGATACAGAGACAGAGAGAGCACAAGTAGGGGGAGAGGCAGAGGGAGAAGGAGAAGCAGCCTCCCCACCGAGCTGGGAGCCTAAGATACGGCTCAATCCCAGGACCCAGAGATCATGACCTGAGCCGAAGGCAGATGCTCAACCAACTGAGCCACCCAGGTGCCCCTCTAATTCTGTAGTTACATGACCAAAGAAAAGTTACTTCTCTCTTTTTAAGAGAGGGAGAGTAGGGGTGGGGTAGAGAGAGAGGGAGAAAGAATCTTAAGCAGGCTCCATGCCCAGCAAGGAGCCCATTACTGGGCTCTATCCCACAACCCCGAGATCATGACCTGAGTCAAAATCAAGAGTCAGATGTTTAACAGACTAAGCCACCCAGGCAACTCAGTTACTTAATCTCTTTGTACCTCAGTGCTAGTCAAGTTTTAGGAATACGTAAGTAGGAACATTCAGGGCATGAGGTAAATCTGTTATTACAAAGGTACAGCAAAACTGGTTCTCTTGTTGAGGATTAAAAGCTTGGGAAATTTTGGGGCACCTGGGTGGCTCAGTGGGTTAAGCCTCTGCCTTCTGCTCAGGTCATGATCTCAGGGTCCTGGGATGGAACCACGCATGGGGTTCTCTGCTCCGCCTGCTGCTCCGCTTACTTGTCATCTCTCTCTCTCTCTCTCAAATAAATAAATAAAATCTTTTAAAAAAATAAAAGCTTGGGAAATTTCAACATCCATGCTGTTTACCCTTCTAAAAACTTGGCCTCAGTTTCTCAACATAGTTATCTGACAACCTGGAAATATGACAACTCCTTAAATTTCCTTGTTGGTTAGAATTGCTCCTGCTTCCTAGGTCTTTTAATTTTTTCAACTCTCTCTACCTACAGCCTTCTACTCCTACCTGCCTCCTACTTTATCTTTGATTCACTCTCATTATGACTTTTAACCCCCTCTTAAGTTCATAGTTCATCAGCTCCCTTCAAGTCCCACTTGGGCTCCACCATAGGCTACTACTTCCTCTAGTGCCTTTAATTCCTTCATTATTACCCATTATCCCCTAGCCCCAAGCAATCCTTCCACTACAACTAATCCTTCATTTACCTTTTACTTTTTCTACTACTCTTCTCTGGGGCCAAGAAGTAATGACAGATAATGTTCCGGTGGCAAAATCAGGTGTAATTTAGCAGAGTAAATAAATTAGTTTTTAAAAAAGTACCAAATTAAAGGGGCAGTCTGTTCTATAAAAGGTCCCTGTAAATTTTTCACTGTACCCAGTAAGAAAAAGTCCAGAGGTTTTCATTTCCAATGTCTAACAAGGTAGTCTTTTCTCCTTGCCCCTGCTTAGTTAAGTGCTGCCAAAGTGAGCACTTTTTTCCCTGTTAAAAAGGAAGAAATCACACCTCAAATCTCCTGGGAGCTAAACAATTAGAAATTATGGAGGACTATGACAACTGAACACCATGCATTCACTGGGATTGGTGTACTGGTGTTAAAATTAACAGTAATAAAAAAAATTGATAGTAATCTGGTAAGGCAAAGGACTTTTACTAGGTGCTGTAAAATTAAAGAGACCTACACAAAAAAAACAAAAAGAAATTAAAATTGTGTTTCCTGAGTCTCCATCTTCTTATCCTGGCAGACATCAGTTTCCTAAAGCTTGCTCATTTTAGGGACTGAGGCAACAAAAGCTACAGTTGACCTTATTTAACAACTTCAACTGGACTACCCACACTGCTTGGATATCAATCATTTCCTACCTATCTAATCTACTCTTGACTACTTTCCCAATCTGTAGATGGCTCCGATGTTGCCTCTTCTCTAACATGATGATTATCTACTAACCTTCAACTGTCTAAATGTCTCTGTTCTGCAGGGGCAGCAGGCGCAATGTCCGGCCACAAGGATGGCAGAAGCTTCTGAAGTAGCCCAAAAAGCAGGCCAAGGAAATGTACAAGGAAGATAAGGCACTTAAGCAGAAACAGAGGAGGGGCAGAAAAAACTCAAGGAGCTAAAAGCAAAGGCCGCAGGGAAGGGCCCCCTGGCCATAGATGGAATTAAGAAATTTGATGAAAAGTCAGCTGTCTCTTGTGTCTGAGACAAATGGTGTTCCTTAATTCCACTCCTGTTTAAACATCTGGATTCCCTGTCTGTTGTAGCATCTATTGTCAACTACAGCTAGAGTAAGTCTTAGATCCTGCTATACATTTAAGAATAAACTTCTGTTAAAAAATAATAAAAAATCAATCATAAAAAATTCTCTGTGCCATTAATCACCTTCATTTCTTTATTTCCCTTTTTTGGGGGAAAAAGAAATCTCTTCACTTCTTCAAGGTTAATTTGTGTCCTTGATTTCAGCCTATATCCTCTAGGACTTTCCACCATCATTTAACTCCTTATATCTTCCATCATCTTCCTTCTTCCAGCTCTTTCCTCTTACTTCACAAATATAATCAAACTCCTCAACCTAAACATTTCCTCAATCCTACTGCTCTTCAGAGCTGGTCTTTTTTTTTTTTTTAAAGATTGATTGATTGATTGACTCTCTATACCCAATGTAGGACTCAAACTCATGACCTCGAGATCAAGAGTCAAATGCTCTACCAACTGAGCCAGCCAGGTGCCACGCCAAAGCTGTTTGTTCTTTCATTCTCTTTTCCTTCATTATAATTTCTTATATTTATGTAATTAACGTATTTAGTAATTTTAATTTTCCAAAGACTTCCACTCTTTCAAAGTGAAAAATAGCTTCTAATTATAAAATCACCTTCCATCCTACATTCTGGAGATCATTCCCATTAAGACATGGATGCCCATTTCTTGCCAGTCCTATTTCATTGGCTGTGTCTGTGATGATTAAATGTTTTCTACCTTGAGCAAATTTGTGTTTGTTTTGTTATTTATTATATATGGGGCACTTCCCCCAAATTAATCAAAAACATTTATAATATCTAATGACTATAGAATAACATATAGACATGTCATCATCCCGACATTTTTTCTTTTCTTGTGGTGGTGGTAGTGGGGGGGAGGGTGGTTCTATTTCCCACAGACAGTCAGAACAGAATACCTGGGTTAAAGTATGCAAATATTTTGAAGACTGAAATACTGACTGCTAAATTTTTTAAAAAATATTTTCAAAGGTATTTT